GGTATTGGATTAGAAAAATGTAGGGCAGGGTTAGAATTGTCTGTTAACAATACCCAGAATGAACATATGCCCTGAGAATTTTGGAAAGGAAATAACTTTGTAGGAAGGGTTGCAGCTGCAACAGTTATTTATATATGTCTTTTAACACTTATGGTACTTAGTTTGATTTTCTGATTATATCTCTGCGTTTTCCCATCAAAAGATGACTAGAATGAAATATTTTTTCAGTGACTCTAAGTTAATTTTTAGTGGCAAGAAAATATATTCACCCTCAGTAATATATTATATTCAAATAATGATAGTGAAATATACTGTTTTCTGCTATCATTGTAGCAAAAATTAAAATCATCAGTAGTATGTTAATTTGGACAGTCATATAGTACTGGTGAGGTCAAGAGTTATGCTTCTGGAAAATAATTTGGTAGAGTTTATCAAAAATACAAAACATTTATATTTTTTACCTGTTTAATACATACCCAAAAAGCTCTCCTAACAGAATAATTCGTGCAAAGAAAAGCCCTGGGCACAAAGATGTACACTGACACATTATTCTTAGAGCATAGTTCCTATGCAGAAACTTGGTCAACATTGGAAGGCACAAATTGGCAAGTAAAGATTAATTATAATTTTACTGCACAAAAATAACATTGATATGTTTTTCCAATTTTCCGGTGCATATCTGCTTTAAAAAAATAGTAGTAGTGTGCTTTTTCTCCCCTTAGCCATATATTTTGAACATTTCCTCCCTCATTTGAGAAAACTCTAGCCTTAGTTGGAACCAGCCTTTCTTTTTTTGCACCTGGACAGCTGAACATTGTTGGGGGAAAAAAACACACATAAGCTGCCTGGTTTCACTTTAAATTCATGGTCATGAACCTCAAATTAGCCCTTAATACTATCTGTAAATGCTAAAACATTTTCTTAGTAAATACACTTTCCCAGTCTCTGGGAAGATAATGTGATACCTTCTTTCTTCAAACCATCCATACACAACACCTCTACCCCACTCTTAGCTGATGATTTCCTCCAACCAGAAAGCTCCTCACCTCTTCAGCCATGTCTCCAAGCCCATCTGCATGTCACCTTCCTCCTTCCCAAAGGATGCCATGTGGTGCCCTGCCTCCTGTCCTAGGTCAGGCTCTGCTCTTGTGTCTCAGATCCAACCCCTTCCCCTCAGGGACCTCAGTCTTTCTGGGATCCGTCCTCTCTCCGGCATCATCAGTCTCACCTTCTCTTTTGGTTTATTGCCAATATCATAGAAATGCTTTGATCTCTTTCACATCTTTAAAAACAAACTCTACATTGCTTTCACATCTCTGTCTACCCTATTAATTTTCATGCCTTTTCTCTGCTACCTTTTTTAGCAGAACATCTTAAAGGAGTTATTGAGATAGTCTGTCTTCTCTTCCTCGTCTTTCATTTCAGTCTGGCTTCATCCCTTATTGTCTCACTGAAACACTTATCAAGGTCAACAAAGACTATGTTCATGTTTCATCCTCACCTTGCAGATCATATCAGAGTTATTTTCTCCAACTTTATCTCCTACCTCCATTTGATGATAACTCTCCAATTTTTAACTCCAACCAAGGTCATTCTTCCAGCTCCAGTTGATAATTAACCTCCAACTACCTACTCAACATCTCCCCTGGGATGTCTCTTGGCCATTTCAATCTTAAAATAACCAAAATAGAACCCTCTAAATTTCTCTAAATGGCTCTACATCAGTTTATTTGCTTAAACTAAAAATCCAGGAGTTATCTATGTTTCTTTTCTTTTTTCTCTTCTCTTCTCTTTTCCCCCATGTCCAATTCATCAGGTAGCCCCGTTGTTTTACCTCCACCTTGTGTATCAAATCCATCGGCCCCTTGCCATCTTTACAGCCACCAGTCATGCCTGGACTGTTGCAGAGCCCTCCTGACTCTGCTCCTTGCTTCTGTTGTTGCCCCTCCATGTCCTCTATCCACAGCACATCAGTTATGTCTCTACCTTCCCTGGCTTTCCAGTGTCCTTCACATAAAGTCATATCCTTATCAAGGACTACAAGGCCCTGTGTGATCTGGCCTCCACCCTCATCTTACACCATCTCCAGTTCCCAGAAAATGTCAAGCTCATTTCCTTTTCCACTTCAAGCCTTTATGCTTGTTCCTTCTCCTTTCCCCATTTCTTAGCTGGCTTCTTCCTCTTCAGATCCAACTTCCTCAGAGTGGCCTTGCCTAATTCCCTATTTAAGAGAGCTGTCCATACCTGTGTTTCTATTGTAACACCTTATTTATTTATTTTAGAACACTTAGGAGAAGCTGTGACTGCTCTTTTCGTTTAGTGGCTGCTTCCTTGACTCAAGTGTAAGCTTCACAGGGGCTGAGCGGACCTTACATAGTTCATGCCTGGTGCTTAGTACAATGGCTGGGAGACAGCGGTTACTCAACAAGAGTTTATTGAATGAAAGAAAGAATGAATTAATACATATGTTCCCATATCATTATTTTTAATGAGTATGTAGTATTTCATTGTACAAATGTAACCTAATTTCCTTAGCCATTGCTCTATTTTGGGGCATATTTGTTTCCAATTTTTCACTGCACTGAAACATGAGAAGTATTCTAAATGGCTATTGGGAATATTGTTGACCAAACCATGGACTATTATGCAGGCATTTAAAATCCTAGGAAGCATTTTTATTTTAATAGGGAAATAAATATGTTAAATGAAAAAAAGAGCTTAATATAAAATTATATAAACAGCATGACCTTAACTATGTAGAAGAAGTACATAGGAAAAGACAGTAGGAAATAAATGAAGATGTTAATTATGGATTTCAAGTTGGCAGGATTACAGATGATTTTTCTTTCTGATTGTTTTTATTTTTTTGAGATAGAGTCTCGCTTTGTTGCCCAGGCTAGAGTGCCGTGGCGTCAGCCTAGCTCACAGCAACCTCAAACTCCTGTGCTCAGGCAATCCTCTTGCCTCAGCCTCCCAAGTAGCTGGGATTACAGGCATGTGCCACCATGCCCGGCTAATTTTTTCTGTATATATATTAGTTGGCCAATTAATTTATTTCTATGTATAGTAGAGACGGAGTCTCGCTCTTGCTCAGGTTGGTTTTGAAATCCTGACCTCGAGCAATCCTTCCGCCTCGGCCTCCCAGAGTGCTAGGATTACAGGCGTGAGCCACTGTGCCCAGCCTCTGATTGTTTTTAAGTATACAAGTTATACATGGAATTTTCTTCTTTATACTATTATGTGTTTTCCGAGTTTACTGCAGTGGGTGTGGTTTTTCCAATAACCAGGAAAAAAGTTCTTAAAAACTTTAGACAATTTTATGACATATCAGATTACTGATGACAGTTAAAGCAGAGTTAGGAACCATTGTGCCCTAGAGTATGACCTAAGTGTTTGAAACATACTTGCTGACTACATCTGTGGCCTTTGAGTTAGTCCAGGCATGTGTATTGCCTGAGCACAAGAGCGGTATTTTCTGTGAAGTTTCCATGGCTAGTTAGGAATGTGTGTGTGTGTATGTGTGTGTGTTTGTGGTATTGTAGAAAATGGGGCTTACTAGAATGGTGGGTTTTGGATGAGAGTGTTCTACATATGTGCTCAGAGTTGGGAAGATATCACAAGTGCTCCTCACATCTGTTTTTGGAGCTTGAGGGGGACTCATGTGGCCTGAGGTTGTCACAGCCTTTTACTTACTTAACTTCAGACAGTGGTTCTCAAATCCAAAACCCTTTTGTGGATTCATGAGGTCAAAACTATCTTCATACTACGACTAAGATGTCACTTGCCTCTTCACTCTCATTCTCTCATGAGGGCACGGAGGATTTTCCAGATGCAGTATAATTCAGCGCAGAATCAGATAGGAGAATCCAGCTGCCTTCTGTGAAGCCAGACATTAAGGAGAGTTGTAAAAATGTCAAACAATGCCAATATTCTCTGGGAGGCCGAGGTGGGCGGATTGCTCAAGGTCAGAAGTTCGAAACCAGCCTGAGCAAGAGCGAGACCCCCGTCTCTACTATAAATAGAAAGAAATTAATTAGCCAACTAATATATATAGAAAAAATTGGCCGGGCATGGTGGCGCATGCCTGTAGTCCCAGCTACTCGGGAGGCTGAGGTAGGAGGATTGCTTTAGCCCAAGAGTTTGAGGTTGCTGTGAGCTAGGCTAACGCCACGGCACTCACTCTAGCCTGGGCAACAAAGCAAGACTCTGTCTCAAAAAAAAAAAAATAATGCCAATATTCTCCCTAAAAATTTTTTATTATGAAAAATAGTTATTTTTCATTAAAATACTATTCATTAACATATAATGGATTTGTTTCTCATAATTTTAAATGAATTAGTATATATTTTAAAAATTTCTGAGTTTAATTTCTAATATGATGAATATCAGTAGATATTTACCCATATAAACATTCTTCGGGTTCCTTAATTTTTAAGAATATAAAGAAGTCCTGGCCAGGCGCGGTGGCTCACGCCTGTAGTCCTAGCACTCTGGTAGGCCCAGGCGGGCGGATGCTCAAGGTCAGGAGTTCGAAACCAACCTGAGCAAGAGCGAGACCCTGTCTCTACTATAAATAGAAAGAAATTTATTGACCAACTAATATATATAGAAAAAATTAGCCGGGCATGGTGGCGCATGCCTGTAGTCCCAGCTACTCAGAAGGCTGAGGCAGAGGATCGCTTGAGCCCAGGAGTTTGGGGTTGCTGTGAGCTAGGCTAACGCCACGGTACTCTAGCCCGGGCACAGAGTGAGACCTTGTCTCAAAAAAAAAAAAAAAGAAGTCCTGAGACCAAAAAGGTTAAGAACTACTGAATTAAGGAGACAAGGAAGAGACTATCTTTATGATGGTTGATTATGGCTCAATAAACAGATTGGTTGAACTACATGACTCAGAGAACAAAGCCCAAAAAGGGAGACGTCCTAGTCTAACAGGCAGCTGTGCAAGTCCTTGAAATTACATTAAACTAACTTTCTTTCTTTCTTTCTTTCTCCTTTTTTAGAGATCATGCATGATGTGATAAAGAAGGTCAAGAAGAAGGGGGAGTGGAAGGTAAGTAGAAGAGGGCAATTAATGGCCTTAAAGGTGTGTTAATGTTGAAAAAGAAGGGATGGAGTTGGAAGAAAGGTGTTAAATAGGAATGAAGCTTTTTGCTGTGTCTGGAGAGTAGAAAACACTTCTGGACTGGAGAAAGGTGATCTGCTCTGCCACACATTTTATATGATCTTGGTTAAGAAGTCTCTTGGTCATAAAGCTTATTTTAAAGATAACTTGGTAGGTCAGTTAGCAGTGGAACTCTTTTATTCAAATAAAGTCTTACCCGGAGCCCATTTGGTAAAGCAGAAGAAGGTGTAATTATTCTACTTGCCATAGGAGAGGAAGAAGAGACCCTTCTTGGCCATAAAGCATCTCCATGGAGCCCATGCAACCGTTTGAAAAGCCCTCAGCTAGTCTGTCCATGTATCTGTAACTATATCAGACAAAAACTAGTAAGCTTGTTTATTCACAGAATGTTGAGAGCAGTGCTGGAAACTGTAATGTACATGAAACTTGTATTTAAACCAATCAGGCTGGGCATGGTGGCTCACGCCTGTAGTAATCCTAGCACTCTGGGACACCAAAGACGGGAGGATTGCTCAAGGTCAAGAGTTCGAGACCAGCCTGAGCAAGAGTGAAAACCTGTCTCTACTAAAAATAGAAAGAAATTAGCTGCACAACTAAAAAATACATAGAAAAAATTAGCTGGGCATGGTGGTGCATGCCTGTAGTCCCAGATACTTAGGAGGCTGAGGCAGGAGGATCACTTAAGCCCAGGAGTTTGAGGTTGCTGTGAGCTAGGCTGACACTACAGCACTCTAGCCTACGCAACAGAGCAAGACTGTCTCAACAAAACAAAACAAACAAACAAAAAGTAAACCAATCAGATTGATCATGGCCTAGGTTCCTGGAGTGGGTGGTGCAAGAGTGTCGAGTGCCACTCCATGCCTGAAGAGTCAGCATTTTAAGGGCCCCCTGCAGGCTGGCTGGTGCTGGCTATAATATTGGCCAGGAGAGCGTGCAGTTTTACTGAATTTACCCATATATCATTGAAGCATTTATACCTGTGGTCTTCAACCCAAGCTGTGGACCAGTACTAGTCCATGGCGTACCTCCCCAGCCCCCAACCCCTTGTCTGTGGAAAAATTGTAAAGCTTCATCTATATAACAGCTCCCCTGCCTGAGCTCTGTCTTCCTTGCATCACTGCCTGAGCTCTGCCTTCTGCCTCCTCACGCCCAGTTAGTGGAAAAATTGTCTTCCATGAAACCGGTCCCTGATGCCAAAAAGGGTAGAGACCGCTGGTTATACCAACCATTCTTGCCCTCAAGTTTTCCTGCAGTTGAGAGCTCATGCAATTTCAAGTTCATTGGGTCTGGGGACAACAGAGCTGATTGGTATAGGAGGATTTTGCAGTCTCATGGCCTTATGTTTTAGCCAGCATATCTGTCCTCACCACTCAGAAGGTGGGAGCTCTTTAGGCATGTGCTGCTCTCTTGCCTTTCCCATCAGAATGGATTTGTAGACATGTGAATTTTAAACTAATCTCAAGTAAGCTGCCTTGTATAATGAAAACCAATTGGCCCTTGTACTGCAGCAGAAAGCTTTCTGCTCCAGGCTATCTACCTCCTGTTGTCTCCTTCTTGGTTTGTATCATTAAAGAAGGAGTAGAGAAATGGCCTTATTTTAACTGCTGGCTTCCTTTCTCCACTGTGGGCTGAAAGGTGATAGGAAACATCAGCTGAAGAATTGCTGGTGTGAAGTTTTCAGCCCAGTACTGGAATGTTCTTGTTCTTCCAATTTGGACTGAGGTATACTATGATCCCATACGATGTGTGTGCTGGGGAAGGTATGAATCCTGATGTCTTCATGTGCCATACTGTATGTGTGGATGCTTATACTCTCCCTTTAAAAACAAGTTTATGCCCTCAAAAAATACTCACTAATATGACTGTCTCTGAGTGTTGGTGCTGTAGATGATTTTTTTCCTTTCTTTTTGTGCATTTTCATGAGTATTTTCTTTCTTTTTTTTTTTTAGACAGAATCTCACTCTGTTGCCCAGACTAGAGTGCTGTGGTGTCAGCCTAGCTCACAGTAACCTCAAACTTCTGGGCTCACACAATCTTCCTGCCTCAGCTTCCCGAGTAGCTGGGACTACAGGCATGCGCCATCATGCCTGGCTAATTTTTTCTCTATATATTTTTAGTTGTCTAGATAATTTCTTCCTATTTCTAGTAGAGGCAGGGTCTCCCTCTTGCTGGGGCTGGTCTCGAGCTCCTGAGCATAAGCAATCCTCCTGCCTTGACCTCCCAAAGTGCTAGGATTATAGGGGTGAGCCACTACGCCCGGCCTAATGAGTATTTTCTTTATCAAGGAAAATAAAAGCAAATTTTTTAAAGTTTATAAAATTAAGTCAAATCAGTTAGAGGAAACTCTAACTCCTACAAGGTTAGGTTTAGGGGTGGGAGGTAAAAGCAAGCACGTATCTCAGTGAGCTTCTGGTTCATAGGAAGTATTGTTTCTTCAATATTCTGCATTTCTGCAGCTCCTTTTGAAGGCTCAGTAAGCTAAGGAGAGAATCCCAGCAGATGCCATCAGCCATAAGCTGTTGTCTTTCCTTCCAGGTGTTGGTGGTGGATCAGTTAAGCATGAGGATGCTCTCCTCCTGCTGCAAGATGACAGACATCATGACCGAGGGCATAACAAGTGAGCACAGTGTTCTCTCTGCGCCTGAGTAGTACTCGTGCCTTCTCTCTGTGGTGGGCTTTGCTCTTTCCTATTGGTTATTATTACCTTTGACTTTAGATTCTTCCAGCAGCCAGTATGGTAAGACTGTTAGCTCATGAGGAAGACTTGAGGCTATCTTATTTATCACTGAATCCCTAGCACCTAATGCAGTGTTGGATGTTCATTAAATATCTGCTAGAGAAATGCTGGAAGAAAGGTTAAATCAAGAAAAAAAGTTACCCCACCCAATAGAAAAAAAAGTTCTGAATAGACACTTAACAAAGGAAGAAGTCCAAGTGGTCAATAAATATATGAAACTTGCCCACAGTCACTAGTGGTCAGGGAAGTGCAATTTGAACCAGAGTTAGATATTGCTATAGACTTAGCAGATTAGACTATTTAAACTCTGATAATGCAAAGTAGTGATGAAGAGGTAGAGAAATGGAAACATAACAGAATATCACTTGGTGCAGCAACTTTGAAAAACACTTAGGAGTGTCTAGTAAAGTTGAGGGTATGTGTGGCCTATGAGCCAGCAAGTCTGTAGTTAGCTGTGTGTTCTAGACAACCTCAGGTTCGTGTGCCCAGGATACATGTGCAAGAATATTCACAGAATGTTGTTCATAGGAACCTTGGATATGCAACAACCTAAACATCCATCAAGAGTAGAATGGTTAAGTAAATTGTGATGTAGTAACACAGCAGAATACTATGCAGCAATGAAAGTAGACAGACTCTGACTACTCACAGTAGCATGAATGAATCTGAGCAAAAGAAGCAAGGTACAAAAGAGTACTTACCTATAGTGTGCTTTAATTTCTATAAAGTTCAAAACCAGGCAGAGTTAAGCTACACTGTTTTGGAATGCAGATGTAGATGGTAAAACTGTAAAAAGAAGAGCTCACCATTTAAGTCAGGATGATGATTCTCTTTGGAGGGAAGAGAGGGAATTGGGATGAAGAAGGGGGGAGTATGGGCTGGGGTGAGGGCATTTCTATGGTACTGACTGGGTTCTGTTTCTTAACTGGGGTGGTGCTTTTATATACATTTGTGTTATAGTTATTTATATATTTTTATCTTCACTCTTTGGAATGTATGTTATTTCGCAATAAATGGTTTTTTAAAAAGGTTACATCACCTGCTCAAAGTCCCTAGCCACTGTCACACGTGAGTCTTAGGACTCAGACCTCTTGGCTCCTATTCCAGGGCTTTTACTCACATTTGTGTGTAGCTCTAGTCTTGGAGGTTTCTTTCAAGAAGGATTATGTATTTTCATTATTGAGACAGCACTCATTGAAAAACAATCTCTTTTGATGTATCACTTCAAACAAGGAAGTTAACGTTGGGTGGAATATACCTGTTATGATGCACCTCTCAGTTTTTTTCCCTGGGGACAACTTTATATGATGTGTGGCTCACACACTATTGCTAGTCTTTGCCAGAATTATTATCATACTATAGTTAAAGGAGAAAAAATTAGGAGGGTTGAGTTTTTTGTTAAGCAAAATTAATGTAATTATTTAATTTTAAGGTCTACCATTTATTGTAAGATTATGTCTTTCCTAATATTTGATGTTAAGATGTCCTTAAATTGTGAAAATATGATGATCATATATTGTGGATTTTCCTGTTGATTAAATTCTGTGTGAAAAAATATATATGTAAAATTTTATTTTTGTACAGTCACAGCTTGAATGTGATTTCTTCATTTTTAAAAAGTAGACTTTATTTTTTAAAGCAGTTTTAGGTTCATAGCAAAATTGAGAGAAAGGTACAGAGATTTCCCATATACCTTCTGTCCTCACACATGCATAGCCTCCCCCATTTTATCAGTATTCCTCACCAGAATTGTACCTTTGTTACAACTGATGAACCTATGTTGACACATCATTATCACCCAAAGACCATACATTAGGGTTCACTCTTGGTGTATATTTTATGGATTTGGACAAATGTGTAATGATATGTATCCACCATTACAGTAGCATACAGAGTAGTCTCACTGCCCTAAAAGTCCTCTGTGCTCTGCCTGTTAATTCTTTCTTTCCCCCTAATTCCTGACAACCACTGATCTTTTCATTGTCTCTATAGTTTTGCCTTTTCCAATGTCAGTTGGAATCATATAGTATGTAGCCTTTTCAGATTGATTTCTTTCTCTTAGTAATATGCATTTAAGTTTCCTTCATGTCTTTTCATGGCTCAATAGCTAATTTATTTTGTATTTTTTTTATTTTTTTATTTTTTTTGAGACAGAGTCCTGCTTTGTTGTCCAGGCTAGAGTGAGTGCCGTGGCGTCAGCCTAGCTCACAACAACCTCAAACTTCTGGGCTCAAGCAATCCTGCTGCCTCAGCCTCCCGAATAGCTGGGACTACAGGCACGCGCCACCATGCCCGGCTAATTTTTTCTATATATATTAGTTGGCCAATTAATTTCTTTCTATTTATAGTAGAGACGGGGTCTCTCTCTTGCTCAGGCTGGTTTCGAACTCCTGACCTCGAGCAATCTGCCCGCCTCAGCCTCCCAGAGTGCTAGGATTACATGCGTGAGCCACTATGCCCGGCCCATAGCTAATTTTTTTGGTTCTGAATAGTATTCCATTGTCTGGATATACCACAGTTTGTTTATCCATTCACCTATTGAAGGACATCTTGGTTGCTTCCAAGTTTGAGCATTTATGAATAAACCTGTTGTAAGCATCCATGTGCAGGTTTTTGTGTGGACATAAGTTTTCAACTCCTTTGAATAAATACCAAGGAGCAAAATTGCTGGATCATATAGTAAGCATATGTTTAGTTTTGTAAGAAACTGGCAAACTGTCCTCCAAAGTGGCTGTACCATTTTGTGTTCCCACCAGCAATGAATGAGACTTCATTTTGCTCTATATCCTCACCAATACTTGGTGGTGTCATTGTTCTGGATTTTAGCTATTCTAACAGTGTATAGTGGTATCTTATTGTTGTTTTAATTTGCATATGATGACACATGATGTGGAGCATCTTCATATGCTTATTTGCCATCTTTGACATGTCTGTAAGGTCTTTGGCCCATTTTTTTTTTTTTTTTTGAGACAGAGTCTCGCTTTGTTGCCCAGGCTAGAGTGAGTGCCGTGGCATCAGCCTAGTTCACAGCAACTTCAAACTCCTGGGCTTAGGCAATCCTCCTGCCTCAGCCTCCCGAGTAGCTCGGACTACAGGCATGCGCCACCATGCCCGGCTAATTTTTTCTATATATATTAGTTGGCCAATTAATTTCTTTCTATTTATATAGTAGAAATGGGGTCTTGCTCTTGCTCAGGCTGGTTTCGAACTCCTGACCTCAAGCAATCCGCCCGCCTCGGCCTCCCAGAGTGCTAGGATTACAGGCGTGAGCCACCGCGCCCGGCCTGGCCCATTTTTTAATGGGGTCATTGCTCTCTTATTGAGTTTTAAGAGTTTTTTTGTATATTTTGGCTAATAGTCATATCTAAAAAGTTATTGCCAAACCTAAGGTTATCTAGCTTTATTTCATACTCTAGGAGTTTTATAGTTTTACATTTTATATTTAGGTCTATGATCCATTTTGAATTAATATTTGTGTCACAGGTCAGTGAGGAGATCTTCAAAAATAAAATTAAAAAGATAAGAATATTTGTGAAGGGTGTAAGGTATATGCCTAGATTCATTTTGTTGCATGTGGATGTCCAGCAGTTTGAGCATCATTTGTTGAAAAGCTGATCTTTTCTCCATTGTATTGGTTTTGCCCCTTGTCAAAGATCAGCTGACTCTTACATGTGGGCTGATTTCTGGGCTCTCTATTCTCTTCCATTGATCTATTTGTCAATTTTTTATTTGGTACAGTCACAGCTTAGATGTGATTCCTTCATTTTTAAAAACAAATTCAGTTTATTTATCACCAGAAGCGTAGTCCTGATAATGGAGTACACAATTTTTGCTGTGACTTTTACGTCATTCAGTGATCCAAGTCAGTTTTAAGACTAGGCTTGCCCATATTTTGAGTTTACAAAGTTACTTTCTTCATTGAATTTTTAAACTATGTTTTTCTCTATCATAGCAAAAAAAGAAAAAAGCCAAATGGAACTAATAAGCTTCCACCAAAGAAGCAGCAATGCCCTGTCTTACTCCTGTCTCCCCATCCCTTGGGATCAGGCACCCTAGAGACAGCCTTCTTGCTTTCTTCTGGTTATCTTTTTAATATTTTTAGATAAATGCTTATACTATTATCTCTTGATTCATCAATATTAGATGTTATCTATTGATTTCCTACAGGAGATGAGGATTCACATTCCCCCACCACACATAGACTCTTTCCTACCCTCAAAGGTGGTTTTTGAGAAATGTCTTTGTTTCTTAAAATATACCCTAAAAAAGCAAAATTAAAAAGTTAGCAATCCTTTGTTGAAGCCCCAAAACATTTTGGGGGGAAGCATTAGTGGCCTATGAAATTAAAAAAATCTATAACCACAAGTAAAGTTGGTTGGGAGATTATGATATTAATTTGAACATTATTCAGGGTAAAAGTCTTTCTGAATGTTATAAGGAATATTTCTAATGGGATGCTTTTATTTACTTAAATCATCTGCATAGGAAGAATGGCACCTGTATGATTATACTGCCCCCTCTATGCCAGAGGTCAGTGCATCATGGATAATGCATTCTAAGCATGACAGGTGAATAGTAAGATGATAATTCTCCCCAAAGCAGTTCTTTTGCAGGTGAAGTTACTGACATCCATATACAAAACAAGGGAACCAAAAGCCCATGATCTGCTTTAACAAAATATAATATTTAATCTTTGAGCTATTGAGAGAAGCAGTATTGTATAGAGGATATTCTTGGAATGTCTTCATTTGATATGCTTAAAGTGATAAAACTATCCAATTGTTGGTAAATAAACCCAACATGGAAATTCTAAAGGAATTGGGATTATTTAGGACAGATGAGAAAAAGCTGAAGGAAGAGGCAAAGGAACACATTCTTGACAGAATTAGGTAGCATTTTCCATTTTCTCTTAGAAGACATCAAGGAATTTACTTAAACTGAAATGGGAAGTGGGAAATATTTAGCATGATAAGATTGAAGGCTTTCCTAACATCTTAAGTGTAGTGAGACACTGGATTTCACTCCCGAGGAATGTGGTAACCTTAGGGAAGGGGTAAATGATTCTTTTCCCCCACTGTAGATATTTATCTGTGCCAGTCTGAAGGTACCTTGTCTATATTGCTTCTAGTTTTATGATCATCAGTCATGTTTTCTTATTCACTGTGGGGTGTTTTGTTGTCCAGTTGTGGAAGATATCAACAAGCGCAGAGAACCACTCCCCAGCCTGGAGGCTGTGTATCTCATCACTCCATCTGAGAAGGTAAATCTTCCACCAGAGAAGAACTTTGGCTAAGGTTACATGTGCTCACTTGGGATCTGTGTGGCACAAAGTGTCTGACATTTCTAGGTTAAGCACGCATTTAACACACTGCTCTGTTTAAGCGTGCAATCTACAAACAGGGTGGGGGAGGGGTGTTTGTGCAGTGAGAAGTGAAGAGTATTAAGCCTTCTGAAATACAACTGCTGTGCAGAAAGCCAGAGCCTGTGTTCCGTGGCCCTGGGTCATTCTAGTTTTCCCCCTTGCATTACCTCTTCAGGTAGGAAATCTACTCTGTTTAATTAGTAATCCACCTCCAGACGTTGGTATTTTATGCTTTCAGGTTTATTTCATCACCATTCAGTTAGTGTTCAGATTTACCTGTCTTATAATTTTGGGGGGTTGGTTCAAATTACCATCCACATAAGGTCACCTCCTTGGGTGATATTAATAATTGTCTTAGGTCTCTTAATTTATATAAATTTCTTCCAATTTTCACACTTTCTTTTCACTTTTGAAAACTGGCAGATGCAACTAAGTTGCCAGAACTTCACTTTCAGAAGTAAAATAATCCTAATTTTAAGTCCTCAGAATTTGGTTATGTCTGAATATGAGTATTAGAATTATACATCAAAAAATCTCCTGCTATTTTGTGCAAGTATCTGGAAGGCAGCTTGGATTTAACTCAGTTCAGATATGGGTCCCATTTGCTTCTAGATTTGGGTTCAGGTCCCTCTTTTTTTCTCTGTTCACAGTCTGTCCACTCTCTCATCAGTGACTTTAAGGACCCACCAACTGCTAAATATCGGGCTGCACATGTCTTCTTCACTGACTGTAAGTACAGCTGTGAGCTGCCCCGTCCTGGGCCAGGTTAACAGTTCTGCACAGCTGGGCTGAGCCAAAACCAAGGCGGGTCAATAAGGAAGAAATTGGTTATTACCACGCTTGTCCTGGTCTTCTGTTTTGGCTTCAGAAGATAAATTGCATAAGAGGCAAAAATAAATGCACACAAATACAAACCTACTAGATCATGCAGTCCTTCCTGCTGAAAAATAGCACACCAGGCACCTGTACTAAGGACTAAAGGGCTGATGCTGAGAAGAAACTTCCTGATGCTTGCCTTGATGTTTTGATGTATAGACATACAGATATCACTGTAAACTGTAGGGTATTTCCATCGATTTCTCAATTACAAAGATATTCCAATTCAGTGGTATTTGTATTATACAGAACCTGAATCATTGCCCTGGAATTAGTTTTCTTATTTCATGGGAGTTTTGTGCATTGATCCTAGTGGAGAAGCAGAGAGATGAGTTAACCTGGATAGATACAGTGTAGAATAATAAGAATGCACCAGTGTTCTTCTCTCTAGGGATAACCCCCTACAATACTCACCACTGAGAAAATGGAAAGGGTCTAGCAAAGAATAATTTTACAGTATTTAAATATGTGTGACCAAGAGAACAGGTAGGTGGCATTAATAATTCTGATCCAATAACATTTTTCTGGGAACCTGAAGCCATTTGTTGGCCCAGGAGCATCACTAGAAATCATGGTTCCCCCACCATGTGGGTCTCCTCTGTAGCTGAGCTTCTTAGAGGTTCTGGGAGAAATGCCTGTGTTACATTGCCCAGTGATTTTATTTTTCTGTTTTATTTCATTTATCATTAACGTGTTAGATGTGTGGTGTTTGTTTATATTAAAGGTCTTTTCCTTATTTCTTCTTAATCTCTTCTGGTTTTTGTCCTTCCTTTCTTTGGTATCAGAAAATAGTTTTTTTTGTTTTTTTTTTTTTTTTTGAGACAGAGTCTCGCTTTGTTGTCCAGGCTAGAGTGAGTGCCGTGGCGTCAGGCTAGCTCACAGCAACCTCAAACTCCTGGGCTCGAGCGATCCTTCTGCCTCAGCCTCCCGAGTAGCTGGGACTACAGGCATGCGCCACCATGCCCGGCTAATTTTTTTTATATACATATCAGTTGGCCAATTAATTTCTTTCTATTTATACTAGAGACGGGGTCTCGCTCTTGCTCAGGCTGGTTTTGAACTCCTGACCTTGAGCAATCCGCCTGCCTCAGCCTCCCAGAGAGCTAGGATTACAGGCGTGAGCCACCACGCCCGGCCAGAAAATAGTTTTGATTAGCTCTCAGTATCTCAATCTTTATTGCCATTTGTTTCTGTTATATGTTGAAGGCCATGCAGGTGGTTTTATATTCCTCCTATACTGTAGAAGTATTAGGTATTTTAGGATGGGATGAACTTTCTAGTTGCTTTCTAAAAATCCTAATAAAGGCTGGGCATGGCAGCTCATACCTGTAATCCTAGCACTCTGGGAGGCCAAGGTGGTGGGAGAATCACTCGAGGTCAGGAGTATGAGACCAGCCTGAGCAAGAGCGAGACCCCATCTCTACTAAAAATGGAAAAAACGTAGCTGAGCATAGTGGTGTGTGCCTGTAGTCCTAATTACTCAGGAGGCTGAGGCAGGAGGATCAGTTAAGCCCAGGAGTTGGAGGTGGCAGTGAGCTATAATGATGCCACTGCACTCTAGCTGGGGCAACAGAGCAAGGCTCTGTCTGAAAAAAAAAAAAAAAAACTCTAATAAAGAATCCACTGGACATGTGCAGCTGTTAAATGAACCAGCAAATGGACAGGAAAGCCAACTACGTTTTGTCATTCTTGCAGCTTGTCCAGATGCCCTGTTTAATGAGCTGGTAAAATCCCGAGCAGCAAAAGTCATCAAAACTCTGACAGAAATCAACATTGCATTTCTCCCGTATGAATCCCAGGTGAGGTTGAGTGGGGGTACATAGAAAGCCTACATCGTAATTATTCTATCAGGAACCCTGAGAGGGTGGGTCAGGGTGTAATAAAGAGAGTGGGGGAGGGAAGGTATCATATTTTCAATTGCCAAATGTGGTGTTATAAGTGGATGTTTATTTAATGGAAATAGAATTCTGTAGGGTCTGCCTTCATCTTACTCTCCAGTTATTTCTGACTTTCAATCAGCCATTGTGCCTTCCTTTGTGTATATTTCATCCTTGCTCTCAGTGTTCACTCCTATTAGCTGATTCCTTGAGTAATCAAAAGTAGCCAATCCAAAAAGAGCACAGAAGGAGAGAGGGAAGGGACCAGAAACATCCCATCTGCTGCAAAGGAGGCTGTTTTTATGCGGAGATAACCTCAGCTTGTCATGTGCTGAGAGAGCAGATGGTGCCTTCGTCATTAGCTGTTAACACTTTCAGTGCCAAATGCCTTGGCAGCAAAGCTCTCCCTTTGGAAAAAAACAAAGTTGTTAAACCAGTAAAGGTGAAGCTGGCTGTGAGAAAATATACAAAATTTATCTTAGTATTTTAAAATCTGTTAAACATCTTTTCCTAACAAAGAAACAAAAATAACAGGACTTTTATGAATTTTATGGAGCTAAAAGATTATTGTGGAATGTTGGATCTTTATAGATCAGCCTCTAGACACCAGAGAGTAACCTATTCTTAGAAAAGGAGGGATGGAAAAAATACTGTGAACATTAAAGACAGTCTCTTTCCCTTCTTACTGGGCCTAAAGCCTGTTTTCTTCTTGAGGGCAGAATTTTTTTTTCCTCTGTGTGTTCCATCCTCACCTGGATTGAACAAAATCCAGCTTTAACATATCCAACCATATTATATTTCACAAATTTTAAAGAAGTATTAGACTCCTTTTTAAAAAAAATCAGGTTTTTAGATATCAAGGTAGTTTACATAAATAAGAATTTGAGAGAATACTGATAGCTGGTAGACTCAATAGTTTAAGAGGGAATTTTAAACTTCCAGAACTTTCCAAAAAAAAGAAGAAGAAAGGAAAAATACTTAGAACATACTACTGAGGACAGGATATTATTAAATCTATAAAAAGCTTCTTTATTTGCTCATAGTCACAGCACAGTATGTAGCTTGTTCCTTATTTATTAAAAACTAAGCAGGCCAGGTGCAGTGGCTCACGCCTATAATCCTGGCACTCTGGGAGGCCAAGACAGGCAGATTGCTCTAGGTCAGGAGTTCGAAACCAGCCTGAGCAAGAGCAAGATCCCATCTCTACTATAAATAGAAAGAAATTAATTGGCCAACTAATATATATAGAAAAAATTAGCCGGGCATGGTGGCGCATGCCTGTAGTCCCAGCTGTATAATCTTACACTAATCTCCTCTCCTGCTGTGCTCCCGGCCTCATCACTGTTCACCACACACCCTAGGCACAGGCTTGCCTGAGGTCTCTGACACTGCCCATTCCCTCTCCATGGAAGTCCCCTGCTGGTGATAAATGCCTTACCTCCCTCAAGCCTTTCTCAACCAGTCCTAGTGTCTGGTCTAGCCTCCTGGGCTAGACCTGTCTAGCCCTCCTGGGCATTCTTCCCCTGCTCTGTTACTTTCTCATATACTTACCCATTTCTCAGTACCACACAATTTGCTTTTCATTATGTTTACTGTCTGCCTTCTCCTACTCTATGACAAACTCCTTGAGAACAGGGATGTTTTGGTCACTAATAGTTCCCAAATGTTTAGCACATTGCCTGGCATGTGGCAGGCACCCAGCACATATTTGTAGAATAAACAGGAACATGTCCTGTAGACTCACTACCAGGGTTGGAGAATGCTCCAGCAGTTCATTATATGTATTTTCTTCTCAGGTGTATTCCCTGGACTCTGCTGACTCTTTCCAAAGCTTCTACAGTCCCCACAAGGCTCAGATGAAGAACCCCATACTGGAGCGTCTAGCAGAGCAGATTGCAACTCTGTGTGCCACCCTGAAGGAGTACCCTGCAGTGCGGTATCGGGGGTAAGGCAGTGCACCAGTCTGCCTCAGGTGGCATCCCATGTGTCCCCCGAGTGGTGGAGCTGGTCCAGACCCTTCTTTTGACCTTAAGGTTCCTCTGGCAGTTATTTCAAGAGGGTCAAGATTTGAGAGTCCCTCACTTAAAATTATTTTTTCAATGGTTTTGTTAATCTTTTAGATTTTATAGTGAAATATAATAATATATACAAAAAAGAGCATAAATATATACATTCAGTATTAAATAACTAAAATGTGAACCCCTATATAACTGCAATCAGTTTTCATACAGTTTTTGATCTCCTCCTAACCTTTAAAAACAAACATCATCTTTGCAAAAGATATTTCAGAGTAAGATAAACTACAAAGAGAATAATTCCCTAAAAGATATATTCCTCAGACTTTATAAAGCGATTCACTCCTCACTTGCTTGCTATGTTCTGAGTGCTGGGGGACTTGAAGCTGAAGACACAGCCCCTGATCTGGGAGGGCTAGTAAGACAGGCATCCCTACATATGTGTGTGAAAGTTGCGTACCTGCGACCTTGACTCTGTGAGACAGGCCAGGCCAAGTGCCTTGGGGTACCCAAAGTAGGGAGAAGGCCCTTCAGCTGAGGATGAGTAATAGCTTCAGATTAGAGGTGACAATAGGCCGGGCATGGTGGTTGACACCTGTAATCCTAACCCTCTGGGAGGCCAAAGCAGGAGGATTGCTTGAGGTCAGGAGTTTGAAACCAGCCTGAGCTGAGTGAGACCCTATCTCTTAAAAATATATATATAGATGACAATAGACCAGTGGAGGAAGGAGGGGATGGCATTTTGTGTGGACATTTGGCTTTGCCATTGGTATGTGCAAAGCTTGGAGTTGGGAAAACAAAGGGCAATTTTGCGAGCACTAGTATTCCAGCACAGTATATGTGTAGAGCAGTGGAATGAGATGAGATTCAGAAGGCCTCAAATGCCAGGTTTGGGATTATGTCCTTCAGTGGTTAGCACTGCAGGGGGAGCACAGGGCCTGGACATGGAGTGATGGTAATGGGCTGGACAGGTGAGGATGGGACCCACAAGAGTGCAAAGGTGGACTCGGCCGAACTTGGGAACTACAGATAGTTTGGGGGTAGAGCAGGAAGGGTTACAGCTGCCAAGGTATCAAGCTGAGGTGACCAGTAGCGCGGTGGTGCCAGGGATCATGTGCTGTACCCAGCCCATTGCCTCATTGCCTGTGGGAACTCATGGCTGTAGAAAAACACCTCCCTGTGGCTGCCCCAGAGCCTGACCTCCCTGTATTGTTGGTACTCACTGACAAAAGCCTGGTGGCACTTAAGAAATGGGGCCTAGGTTACCACCTGGCCAAGAGTGGGAGCCCAGGCTGGGTGCCAAGGCTGGCCAGGTGGTAGGCAGCACCCACCCATTGTGTCAAGTCAGGTGGGGCCCAGGGAGCACCATCAGACTTGGCTATGGGGAAAGGCTCAAAGGCTCTCACTGTTCTGATTGTGCCAAATGGATGTCTCTTGCTAACAAAACAAGACCCAAGGGAATTTGAATTGAGGGGAGTGAGAGTCATATGGGTCAGGCTCAGAGCTCTGGTTCTGGGAGACGGGTGAACGGTCAGGGCCTCTGCTGAAGGGTGGTAGTTTATCGGAAGCTGCTTGGAAAGACTACTTCTGTTTCCATTTAAATGATTAAAAAAAATTTTACAATAAATCATTTATGTTCAAGGCACTGAGCTATGTATTTTATTTAGCTTTTCCTTTTTAATTACATGTGGTATATAAAAATATTCTCGTTGTAACTAACACAGATGATGCTCATGTCTCCCTTAACCTTCCTTGCACTGTCAGGGGCAGTCAGTGCCATTGTTTAGGTGCATTGGTGGTTCATACTGTGTCACTCCTCCTTTGTCAGGGAATACAAGGACAATGCCTTGCTGGCTCAGCTAATTCAGGACAAGCTCGATGCCTATAAAGCTGATGACCCAACAATGGGGGAGGTAAGTCTGGCTTGGACCACATGGTTCTCTTACCAAGGGACACCATTTATGTGACAGTCCAGAGGACAGCTCAGTTCTGTTGCTCACAGGGTAAACATGGATGCTGCTGTTCCTATAGACTGGCTCAAGTGAAATGCCCAAAGCCCCTGGGGCAGGGTTGCTCAGTGTAGCTGGGGTGACCAACCTGTTTCCATTTCCCCGTTTTTAGCTCTGAACATCCCAGGTCTTGAGAAACCCCCAGAAGTACAATAGCAAAACCAGAAAGTTGACATTGGTAGCATCTCCAGACCTCATTCAGATTTTACTGGTTTTTCAATGTACTCTGTGTGTGTACAGTTCTGTGCAATTTTATCACATGTATAGATGAGTGTAACTACCACAATAAAGATATACAGAGCTATTCCATCACTACCTTGGTTTTCAAACTGAAAGTCCAGGGTCCTGGAAACACTTTCAGCCCTAGGCACACTGAGTGGTTGGTCATCCCATTTGTAGTTGAACCTGGCAATGCTCTTCTGCTTAAACTCACTTCAGCTCCTAGTGCAGTTTCAGATCTGCTTCAAAGTGCTCTTGTTATGAAATAGAAACACTAGAGTCTCACATGGTATTTATTGGTGTTCTCATCAAGCAGTATATAGGCTATGCAGTACTGTTTTAGTAGGCTTGCACCTCAGAGTTTGCTTCCAGTAGGTGGGGAAGTTGAAATTGGGGTGGCTGGTGAGGCATTTGCCTGTTTCCCCCCAGGGCCCAGACAAGGCGCGCTCCCAGCTCCTGATCCTGGACCGAGGCTTTGACCCCAGCTCCCCCGTGCTTCATGAGTTGACTTTTCAGGCTATGAGTTACGATCTGCTGCCTATTGAAAATGATGTATACAAGTGAGTATAATGTCATTGACCCCAGAGGGACTGCAGCTTTGCAAATGAACCAAAAACACCTCTAGCTTAAGAAAGCTAGGAAAAGTGGGTACATTGATACAGTCTTCAGAATAAGTCTCTAAGTTTTTCTGAGTTCCCCCAAATCCACATGGCATTTCTAGATGGGAACTCATGCCCCTTTTAGGGAGGATAAGAACTTTAGATCTTTAGCTCCCAGCTCACAGTCATCTCAGTTCATAGCCTACTTGGTTATGTTAGTATGTCGATTTTTTTGTGTGTGTGTATCTTAGAGTTGAAACTTAATTACCATGAAATATGATGATAGGCTGGGTGAGGTGTATCACACCTGTAATCTGAGCATTTGGGAGGCGGAGGCAGGAGGATCCCTTGAGGCCAGGAGTTCGAGACCAGCCTGGGCAACATAGTGAGACCCTGTCTCTACAAAATCTTAAAAAAATTAGCTGGGCATGGTGTTGTGTGCCTATAGTCCCAGCTACTTGGGAGGCTGAGGCAGGAAGATCACTTGAGCCCAGGAGTTTAAGGCTGCAGTGAGCTATGATCACACCACTGCACTCCAGCCTGGGTGACAGAGCAGGACCTTGTCTCCTAAAAGAGAAAAGAAATATGATGATAAAATATACCAACAAGAGTTTCTTTGAAGAAAAGCTATTTTCCTCATTATAAAAAATATTTTTCTTGGTAACAATCATCAGAAACTCAGTTTCTAAAATTTTTCCTTTTGTGGACCCAAACGTTGTATGAGAACAGACATTGTTCTCATGTTATTTATTTTATAATATTGATCATAAACATCATGGTTTCAAAATGAAGATTCTAAAAATATGAGTGAATCTCAGCTGTTCTCCTTGTTGGCGCCTGTAATTCTTGCTTCCTCCAGGTGTTCATGACTTCACATGTAACAGTACACTGAGGACCTATTGCAAGTAGCTGCCAGAAGCTCTTTAGGTACCACACATCTGAGGATGGCATCCCAGTCTCTTGCCAGAGAGACAAATAGGATTCTTGCCTTTCCCCTGTAACTGTAGACCCACACACAACCTGAATGCTTGCTCTGTACCAGGTGGCTCAAGTGGAGCTTTTATCAGCCGACCCTGAGGATTTTAAGACAGCCCAAGGAATTGCAGCCCATGTCAGTGCTGACACAGCACACCTGACCGACACATCAGGTGGAGCTGAGGGCTGTGACCTGCTGTTGTTATAAGGGGGTCCTATGAATGTTGTAGGGACAGTGTGCTTCACCTGAGTCCGGTATCCTCTCTAGGTACGAGACAAGTGGCATCGGAGAGGCACGGGTGAAGGAAGTCCTGCTGGACGAGGACGACGACCTGTGGATAGCGCTGCGCCACAAGCACATCGCGGAGGTGTCCCAGTAAGAGCCTGTTCCTCACCCTTCTCCTCAGTTGCTGTTGATGATGGGTGCACTCTAGGTGTCTTGGCGAAGCTCATCACAGGGTGATTTTGTTCCCTTGACAGAGTCACAGTGTGCTAACCAATAGTGATAAATCCCTTGTGTTCTCTGAGCTTGAGTTACTCCAGCTTCATGAAATTAGGAAATCCATTCTGTGTTAAGGTTCCTTTTAGAATGATTAGAAAGCATGTGTAGCTCTCTCAGAAAAATGCTTAATAAGCATAAACATTGAAAGCCAGTTTATTCCATTGAAAGATCCAGACACCACTGCATACAAGTGGACTTTCTTTTCTATAGCTGATATGCAGTCTCTCCTGTGTCTTACCTACAGTTTCTGAGCTAGAGCTATTGTCTATATACTGAATAATACCATGCCCTAAAAATGTTTCTAATATTTAAACATTGTTTTAAGAATTTTAAAAGCAGATAACAATTCTGCTTTTTCAGAAAGACACATTATGCTAGATTGAGTTGGTGATATCCTCAGGAAATTCATAAGAAAGAACAAGAAAGTGGCATAGCCCTAGTTAGTTCTGCTGTTGAGAGAAGTGGTCTCCAAACTCTCTTGATCACTCAACTTTAAAAAATAACCCACATTTCCTATAATTAAATGTTCTTAGGAATTAAACATATGTTTTATTGTACTAATATATGTATTTACAACGTACATATATATTTGTGTATTTTTCAAATGTAAATTATGTACATTCAAACAAATTTGAAAAGAACAAGATAAAATAAGCATAAATAGGTGTTGCAATATTTTCTTCCTCTTTTCTCTGGAATCATCTGTTGGTACACCCCACTCTGAGACCACTGGTTTAGAATATTACAAAAACAATATATCTCTTTTCTCTTAGAAAATCACTTTAAATGCATACTTACTGATAGGAAAAGTCATCACATATTCCATGTTCTAAAGAAAGAACACTGCATGGCTTACATAGCATCCATAACAAGACCCTTGGTGCTGCTGTGGAACTTTGCTGCCTCCTTTTATTTTCCAGGGAAGTCACTCGGTCTCTGAAAGATTTTTCTTCTAGCAAGAGAATGAATACTGGAGATAAGGTAAACCCTTGCCAATGCCCAGATGCTTTTTCTCACTGAGAGCAGGAAGAAATCACCTAGGTATAGGACTAGTGAGTTGGTGAGGTTATATTTCTCTTTCCATTTAACATCATTTTGTCTTATTTTTACATTTAAGATTCAGATCTGGAGCCCCCATCTTTTGATGTTTTAGAGAGCTGCTTTTTGTTACTCTGAGGATTAATGTTTACTGTTGTGGATCATGATTCATTTTAAGCCAAAAGAACTGTAAGACCTTTTTTTAGCTTGTGGTGGAGTTAGAATTCATAACCTACCTTATCGAGGCCTCTCCTTTTCCTGACTGTTACCAGAGGTGGCATACCCATCTTAATCAAGGCAGGTGGACTTGCTAAAATGCAGCTCTGATTTCATTACTTCCATGCTTAAAACCATTTAGTAACCTCTAGTTCCAGTCACACACCCACACCCTGCCACTACTTCCAAGGCCCAGGTCCTCAGGCCCCCCGGACACCTTCCTGGTCTCACCTCTGCCTCCCTCCTTGCCCCAGCCTCAGGCCTTCCCAGGTTCTTTGGCTTAGGCATTGCGTCCTCCAGAAACATTCCCTAGCTCTTCACTCACTAGGTGCCTTTGCCCTGTGTACCCACACCATCTGGTGAATCCCCTCAAAGAGCCCTAATCTCTCTATCAATGCCTTGTTTGTCTGGCTACTCTGCTAGATGTTAAGCTCTATGAAGCAGAATTTTTTTTTATACTTTTTGCCCTTATATCTCCAGCACCTAATAGTGCCTGGCATGTAGTAGTAATTCAATACATTCTTGTTGGGTAAATGAATGGGATTAGATGTATTACACAGAAAGTAAATAGACCCATTTCACCCATTCCAGCCTTCTCTATCCTCCCTGTGTTCTACCTATCTACACAACAATAGCCTTTCTGCTGGCAGGAAATGTAGACTTCTTGCCAAGACTGCTTGATGTGAGGATGCAGGAAAACAGTGTACATAAGAAAAATCTTTTTTTTCCTTAGCAAGAATTAGGCTCTCAACAACTTTCTAGTCTAGTAAGAATAGAATAAAACATACTTGCTAGAGACTTCAGAGTTTAGTTCCCAACATGTAAGGCAATCATGGTGTTTGGCTCAAAAATTTTTTGAGCCACAGGCCTGGAAATCTAAACATACGTGATTTTGTGTTTCGCAGATTCATTTTGAGAGTTACAGGAACGCATGTGGGAAGTCTGGTGTGTGGCTGTCCTGTCCTGCACCCATAAGCCTTACAAAACCTTATTAGCTCAGGGCTTCTGGAGTGACACCATGTGTTTTTGTTTCCCTTACAGACCACCATGCGGGACCTGTCCCAGATGTTGAAGAAGATGCCCCAGTACCAGAAAGAGCTCAGCAAGGTATGATGATCCCAAATCATTTGTTTGAATTGTGAGTGTAAACAGCTGCAGAAAGACTTTACAAAGCCCTACTACTCTTCATTGAAATCCACAGAATTTTAATAGTCTTTAATTTTTATTAGCAGAGAAGTGAAAGGCTGGGATAGGCAGCTTGTTTCTTATCACTTTCTTTTCTCCTCTTCATCTTTCTTTTTCTTTATCTATCCTTCCTCTTCCCCTGCTGTTGGCAGAGGCCTCTGTTCCTCACCCCATTGGCCCCTCCATGGGCTACTTCCGTGTTTTCACAACATGGCCATTGGCTTCCCCCAGAGTGAGTGATCTGAGAGTCAGAGAGCACCAGGAAGAAGTCACATGCCTGATCTTGGACGTCACATAGCATTACTTCCTTCATGCTGTTTGTTAGAAGCAGGTCACTAAATCCAGCCCACACTAAAGGAGAGGGAAATTAAGCTCCACCTCCCGGAGGGAAGAGTATCAAAGAATTTGTGGACACATTGTAAACCTGTCATACCTCCCTAACCTCATAAAGGATGTCTCCTTCTTCCTAATTCTTTTAGAATGTGGTTCTCCCTCCTGACATGTAACACTTTCTACTTTTGTACATGTTTTATCTCCTTTATGAGATAGTGCCTAGTGCCTAGCAGTATTCTGTACACAGTAGGTGTTTGGTAGATGTGGCATGAATTGTGATTAATTCCTCAGTTACAAACTCTTGTGTTTTTTCCTAGTACTCCACCCACCTGCACCTTGCTGAGGACTGCATGAAGCATTACCAAGGCACCGTAGACAAGCTCTGTCGTGTGGAGCAGGTAGGACTTTTTCCTTCTCCTTCTGCCATGGCAAGTCTTCTTCTACACCCTTTTACCCAGCTGAGTTTTAACCTCTGACTTTGAACATTCTGCAGAATCATAGGAAATAGAGACGGGAATGCCTGCTAAATCCTGTTGTCTCAACTCTCTGGAGCCAGTATGGTTCCACCCTCAATGGTAGGGACTAGATTGGTCTGGAATGCTGTGCCGTTTGGATTTTGCATGCCTGACTCTTTTGAAAGGCTCTGTTTTCCCTGAAATGGGTGAAGAAAGACATGTGGGTTCTGAGCCCTGTGTTGACAGGGCTGGCTGAGCTTTATTTTCTGAATGGGTTTTCCTCCTCCTGTGGCTATGCCAGCTTTGGAGGCCTAGAGGCTGAGAGACGGTAAAGCATTGGAAGGTCAGGATTTACCCAAGGCATCAGTAAGCACAATTAAGAGTATGAGTTGAGAATTTGGGATTTGAGTTCTGTCTCTGTCACTGATTATTTGATATGCCTGTTTCTCTGTGTTTTGTTTTCTTCCACTGCGAAAGCAAAATCAGTGCTGACATTGTTCAGGGGTGTCACATGGAGTCACTAGTCCTGACCCTCCTTTCTTCAAGCATTACAATATCATTAAACTATGAGTCAACTTCTAAGAGAAGAGAGGATGTTAAAAGATTCTGCACCCTCAGCTGAAAGTCTCTTTTCACGGAAAAAACCAACTCAGGTTCTCACTGTGAAGCTAAGATTTAACACATTGACTGCCACACTAGAAGAAAAATGTTTTTCCTTGGGGTCACGGTGTTATATTACAAAAATAGAATAAAAACTTCAAAAACAAAACAGTTCTTTCTAATTTAATGAAAAATTTGTTATTTTTATTATTTTCTGTTCATGAGTTATATGCAACTTGAAAAATAGTTTTTGTGGCTCCCAAGGTGAAGAGACATGTGAATTACAAATGCTTCACCAGGCCCTGGGCTCAAAACTAGAGTGAGTTGAATATAACTCACATGGTAGTTAATGTGTTAAATCCTCTGATTTGATGTGACTGGTTCAGCTTAGATTTGTAAGCCCTGTCCTATACCATTGAGTGTTTTAAAGGAGGAAGTTACCCTGCTAAAATCTATCAATTTCACAGGTAATTTTAGCAAACACAAGGTATCCTCTCTAAGAGAACTTGACCATCCAAAAAAGGATTATACCTAGATCAGTAAAAATGCAGTTTGGGGTTTGTTTTTGGAAGTTTAAAATTTTTCAGAAGTGCTCAAAAATATTGTTGAGCTCATTAAATTTAACTGCACTTACAGAGAGTATTAAAATAAGGTCCTGCTTACCAGCTGTCTGTTGAGGATGGTGGTCAGACTGAGAGGTGAAAGGGCCCACAGAGGTGTCCCTCCTTCCTCCAGCCCATCCTGGAAAGAGCCTGTGGACTCGACTGTAATTTATATGAACTCCTGGAATCTTGGGGAAAAAAAGAGAACCTTCAAGCAACCTCCTAAGAGCTATAAAGGAAGCAGCTGTGGGTCTCTGAGAATAAGACCAAATAGTTCTGAGTTTGCTGAGACTAATGTGCTGTTTTCTCTGGGTCTGAGTCTCACCCAAGCCATGATGTGGGGCCAATAGATTGTGGTCCCTTCACTCTCTCTCATTTCACCTCCTTCATCTGCTGGGGTTTGAAATTGCAGCTTTGGGAGCCTTTGTTTTTCTCTCCTCATCCACAGAACTTGGTAAAAAAGATTGAAAGCAAAGTTAAAAACCTAGAGTAGTTCAGACTTAAAAAGCATGTCCTTCCTTCAATGCCAGGGCAAGCCTAGTGGAAAGAATCTAGCCTTGCAGAGGCACCTTAAAATGCCAAAGCTTTTCATGGGAGGGAGGTACATCACTTTAAGCTCTGATACCTCAATAGGGCCTTGAACCTCTAGAGAACCTACCAATATTGAGTCTGTACCTGAGAAACTGACACAGGTACACTGCACTCACTTGCAGGGAACAGCCTACCTTTAAATAAGATGACAAATCATTATGGTTTCTGATTTTGGCAACTGAAACTTAGGGACTTCTGTCTGCTCCCACTGATGCTTTAGGAAATGTGCTGACCACACTCATGCTAATTGCAGTACATTATGAGAATAATGTATGCAGTACATTGTACATTCTCAATTATGAGAATGCAGTACATTATGAGGTGCAGAAAGCACCTGTTTAAGACCTTCCCCAACCAAGCAACCAGTCACAGACATTTATGGATCCTGAATTTCCTAAGTGCTGCCATCTCTCCAGATTGTCACCAGAGATGGGGCCAACAAGGTATGTTTTCCACAGGACCTGGCCATGGGCACAGATGCCGAGGGAGAGAAGATTAAGGACCCCATGCGAGCCATCGTCCCCATTCTGCTGGATGCCAATGTCAGCACTTATGACAAAATCCGCATCATCCTTCTCTACATCTTTTTGAAGAATGGTAGGAATGTGGGACCTAGAGGAGGGGACAGGCCCTGCCCTCTCTTGGGGAAAATGAGGCAGCTAAGAGAGAGAAAACAAAGTGGAAAGGTTGTTTAAAAGATATGGAAGGGGCCGGGCGCGGTGGCTCACGCCTATAATCCTAGCACTCTGGGAGGCCGAGGTGGGCAGATTGCTCAAGGTCAGGAGTTCAAAACCAGCCTGAGCAAGAGCGAGACCCCATCTCTACTAAAAATAGAAAGAAATTAATTGGCCAACTAATATATATAGAAAAAATTAGCCGGGCGTGGTGGCGCATGCCTGTAGTCCCAGCTACTTGGGAGGCTGAGAAAGGAGGATTGCTTGAGCCCAGGAGTTTGAGGTTGCTGTGAGCAAGGCTGATGCCACGGCACTCACTCTAGCCTGGGCAACACAGTGAGACTCTGTCTCAAAAATAAATAAATAAATAAAAGATATGGAAGAGAGAAGGAAAAGAAGATCCTAGGGACTCTTTATGTTTGGGGAAATGCAATGTAGTCAAATTATTTGCAACTAGAGGCTGAATATCTCCTAGTAATTCTAGAGTTAATAAATGGTATGGGATCTATGGAAGAGGGCAGGGCTAGGAGACAAGGGAGAACTATGTGGTTTTATGGCCAGTTTACTCAAGCTATACCCACCAGATATTTTTAACTTGCATGACATTTGTCATCTGCCTTTAAAGAACTGATTTTTAGCCATATCACAGTTACCTGGATGAGTTCATTGTGCAAAAGATGGATTATAAGACTCTCCAATTTGACTTTGATGCAGGGCCGGAGAGGGCAGGGATTGCTGAGAAGTGGGGATAAATGGAAACACAGACCCTAAGGGGCAGTTGCTGATGGCCACTGCCCAGGGCAGAGTGGCTCGAGTAGACTCAGAATCCTTATTTTGTCTTCATGGCACAGTGTTGTAGACAAGGTAGACAGATCAATTTCCACTAACCCTGAGAAGGAGAAAGGACACACCATCCATCCCTGAGGGCCTGGCTCTATTTCTGAATGTGCGATGCGCAGTGGCAGGGGGTGCTAACTGGGTGTCTTGTGCCCTCAGGCATCACTGAGGAAAACCTGAACAAACTAATCCAGCATGCCCAGATCCCCCCAGAGGACAGCGAGATCATCACCAACATGGCTCACCTTGGTGTGCCCATCGTCACAGATGTGAGGGGCCAGCTCTACGTATGGGGGTGGCGGGAGGGAGGCTTGCAGGTCCTGTCTACTTCTGCTCTGACTGATGTATAGTGTCCTATGATACACACAAATACCCACCCTCAACATCAAGAAAGAGGAGACAGAATCAGAGGGATAGAAGTGTAAAGGTGCAAATAAAATAGATACAAAGTGACGAACTAAAACGTGTGTAGCAGGGAGTCACACACAGTCATTAAAGCTGAGCTATGTCTCTGAACCAAACCAAACCGGGTTTCCTCCATGATATTTCAAGGTCAGTCTGGCCTCACCTTTGGATACCTTAGACTCAGCATCTTCTGTGAGGATGAAAATGTGATGTGTAGAGTCAAGCAGTTTTGCTGCCTCTGAGTCTCTGCACTGGTGTTGAGGCAGAGCCAGTGGGGAAGCTGGTCTGGGAGGCCTGCACCACACAACGTGCTGTAGCAGAGGCCGGGCAGGTGCCCTTCAGCCCTTCCAGAACACATACTGCTAACCTTACTTGTGGGAGCCCCACTGTGAGCTTGCTTTCCTCAGGCAGGCAGGTCACAGGACGATGCTAGTGAGGCTGGAGTTGCTTCTTAATTCTAGAGACAGAGCTCTGGTCTGTCACTGCCAGACCATAGACCTGTAACCATCAGTGGTTTGGTGTTTTGACCCTTGTTCACAAGAGGGATCAAAACGAGAAAGAAGATGATCCCTTCAGCACACCTGTGTTATGGAAGAGAAGTCAAGGAATAAGTCATGCTCCAAGTAGTATTTGCCCCTATAACAAACAGAAAACTATTGTTTTAATTGCCTGGATTTTTTTTTTTAAATGACATATATATTTGACCCATGTTTGGCATTTTTCATGACTTTATAGAGTAAGTTTGCTCCAGGTTCCTAAAGTGGCACTTTTGGGGTTATTGCAGGGAAAACCTCCCCCCTTACTACTCTTTGCCAATGCTGACTTTAAAGGGAGTCCTTGAGAGAATTTTCAGAGGCCAGCAGTGATTACTGAGGGCCCAAGTGGCCCCTAACACAGTCTAACCTGGTGTGTGTTTATACTCAGTCCACGTTGCGTCGCCGGAGCAAGCCAGAAAGGAAGGAGCGCATCAGTGAACAGACCTACCAGCTCTCACGGTGGACCCCAATCATTAAGGACATCATGGAGGTCAGTGCTGGGGGTGTAGGAAAGAGAACCGGGGCCAAGGGCTCTTCCCCTGGCCACTGGATGCTTCCAGCTTCACCTGCTCCAAGTCGGCAATGACACCTGTGGGTTTCTCCCCCTGAGGATTTGAGTCTGGGTCTCCAGGGCTCTTTCAGCTCATGGTGCACCTTGTCCTGAGGATTTATGAAGAGCCAAGAGACTGTAGATGCAGGTCTCCAGATCCATTTATCTGTTGTTATGTCTTGGAGGACTCAACCTCATATTACAGAGACCCCTCTAGGGTACCACATCTAAAGGGCCAAGCACTTGCAGCATCTCAAAGGTCAGATGAATGACATGCACAAGCCCCACACTGGGGGATGCCATGGCAGACCTCCAGCAGGCATAGCCCTGCCTGCCCTGCCCCATCTCCTGCTGCTCCCTCCCTAAGCCCTCCACACACCAGCTCTGCTGGTCAAACCAATCCCTTGCCTGGGATGTTTTGACCCTTCCTCTAATCTTCCCGAATCCAGCTTTCCTTCAAAGCCCCTATCAGGTCTCATCATGTCTGTGTGCTGCCCCACCTATCTGACCACCCAGCACAAGGAGGCCTCCCCTGAATCCCTTAGTGTGTGTCATATTTACACATATGTGTTCTGCTCAGTGCACTGGGTGGTCTTTTTATAGCTTAGTCCTGTCCCCTCCACTATTGGGTCCTCTGCACAGAGCCACACACATAGCATGTGTTGGCTGTAAGGTAGCAGAAGGTATGAGCACCACAGCAGCCCTCTGGGTTTGCTCCCTTCTCTCCTTGCAGTGGTAAGAGACCCTGCATAGAATCCTACACTGCTTGATCATTGAGGTTAGACCTGGAGATAATCTGACCAAATTCCACACTTGACAGGCAAACAAAACTGTGGTCCAGAGGTTGAGGGACTTGCCCTGGATTCCGTAGTTGATTCCTAGCAGCCCAGGTATTCCCACTGGGTTGCACATATTTTAAACATATAGAGTGAGCAGCTTCCTATTCTTAAAACCCACAAACCAAAAGGATGGGCAAAGTGAGACATCTAGAAACCAACTTTCTTTGCTTGGTGGAATAGATAAAGCCAACTCTTCTGTCTCATTTCCTCCTTTGTTCTCTACTCCCTTTTTCTCCCCATGCCCCAGACAAGACATGTATAGGCTTCCTCTGGCAGCTGCTAGGGTCAGTGTGCATTCCTAGGCAGCAGAGCGTGGATAGTAGGCATCCACCCACCACATAGACCTTTGAGAAGCTGGGGGACCAAGGCTCCCCACTGTAGGAGAGACCCTGCTTTTGCCTAGTTTCTATAAGGCTGATGGCAGGTGTCAGGAATTTATTGGCTAGAGTATAATATTTACAACTTCACATAGATGATATAAGAGAATAAATTGGGAGAGGAGCAAGAAAAATTAATGCTTTTTAAAAAAACTTCTCTTAACCCTTTGCACCTGGATGTCGAGTGTGACTCAACACGGTTAGCAAAAATTATATAGAGCTTAAAATTACTCTTTGAATGTATCAATAATTTGAAATATAAAAAATTTCAAATAAATAAGTTTGTATGAAAAGAAACTCCAGTTTTTTATTCTACTGCTGCACTTTGTAAAATCTGGAGTATTTAAAAAATTAAATCCCGAGTAGAATAAAGGAATCGAGAAAAAAGCGAGCAAGTGCAAAGGGTTAAAAAAACAGACCTGCAAATTTATCTCAGTGTGACAGCCCTTTAGGAAGCACTGGTCAGTGCCGAGCATTGTGGGGCATCTGAGCATTGTGGAGCATCCAGGAAGGGAGCTCTGATGGTTGCAAATCTATCTGGCATGTGTTTTGCTAACTGACTTGTTCTTCGAATCACCTTGTCTTGCTTCCTGTCAGCCTTTTCATTCAGATGGTAGGCCTAACATCTGTCTCTTTCCTTACTAGGACACAATTGAGGACAAACTTGATACCAAACACTACCCTTACATCTCCACCCGCTCCTCTGCCTCTTTTAGCACGACTGCTGTCAGGTAGGTGAAAATCCCTGAGCAAACAAGGGAGGCGCATAGGACCATCTCTGGGTGGGTTTCAGCTCCGTGGCAATCCTGCCATGAGGCAGTGTGGTCCGTGAGAATGCTCTTGCTGTCACTCCTCACAGCTAGAGCACCGGCCCTCACAGGCCTTCCCCCTCCAGCTTCCTATTCCTCTCGGACTCATTCCTCACCCCTGCCTTCCCCTCTCCACCTCAGCCTTCTCGCTCTTTCTCAACCAGCCAGGCCCACTTCTGCCTCGGGACCTTTGCACTTGCTTTTTCCTCTGTCTGAAATATCTGCATGGCCTGTCTCGTATCTCCTTCAGGTTTTTAATCAGGTCATACCTTCTTTGATCTTCCCTAACCACCCTGTTTAAAATCACAGTACACTGTGTCCATAGCAGCTTCATTCATGATAGCCCAAGTGTAGAAACAGTCCAGTGTTCACCAACTGATGAGTACATAAACAAAATGTAGTATATCCATACAATGGCTCCTGAGAACATTCAGGGCTAAACATGTGAGCTTGGGGCAACAGAGTTAGCAGCTCCAGAGAGGGCAACCCTAGCACCGTGGCTGTGACATTCCCGCTCCTGAAGTGACATCTCAGGATATGTACCTCTCTGTGCTTCCTCTTGTGCTTTCTCTGCCTGTCTTCTCTCTTGCTCCTCCTCTTTCTGTCTTTACTTTTTGCCTTTTCCTGGCCCTGGGCTAGCAACCTGCGGTGGCATCCTGTGTCATTGTACAGCCCCTCTGATGGCAGCAGAGGTGAGATGTTTATTGCCAAACTTGGAGTAAAATACAGAGTCCCAAGTATTGCGCCAGTCAGGCTTGTTGACAATCACAGAATATCAAATGATTGCGCACGGAAAGAAAGTGAATGTGAGATTCTCTGTTGGCTCAGGCAGTCCCCTGGTGCCTTCCAGATTTGGAAAGCGACTGTAATGCTGTCATAAGTCAGGAAGAAGGGCAAAGCATTTCAGTGGTCAGAGAAGACTTGCTCCCTTTGTTGTATTTTTCCTGATTTCTTTGCCTAAAGCAACCCATTTCTCCCTGTCTCTGAGTCAAAGATAAAGACCTGGGGAGGGGAGCCCAGGGATACAGGGAGGCCTCTCCAGGAGCAGCTCCCCCCCCCCCCCACTGCTTCTTCCCTGGCTATGCTATGTTTTTCAGGAGGCAGCTCAGTGCCACCAAAAGCCTCTGCAGTGATCCTAGACAGGGCTCCCTGGCTCCCTCGTGTTCAGCCCCATGGTCCTGAGCTCTTCATCATAGCGAACCCACTTCCTTCTCTCTACTCACCCCATTACACTGCAACTCCTTGGTGGACAAGGCCTGTGTCTCCCCTGGAAGCAATGCTGGGGAGGTCCTGGCCCATGAGAGGCAGACACTCCGTGTGTTTATTCAGGGAGTCAGTGTGCCAGCCTGAAGGCAGATCTTAGACACTGTCATCACTGTGCACTGCCAGCAGTGACCTTGACAAGCTCAGAGACGTGCATAATCTGGAGTAGACAGCTGAATGAGCATCCTATGGGGTAAACATGTCAAACATCAGAGCTGAACAGAGCCTGTCTGTTGCCTGTATGTTTCTTAGAGAGTGACAAGGTCACAGCACAGGCACCCATAGTGATTCTTCTCCCAGCAGCCACGCCACTTGAAAATTGCATTGCTTTGGTGACCTCAGCTGGGCATGGTGGTTTGTGCCTATAGTCCCAGCTACTCAGAAGGTTGAAGCAAGAGGATCACTTGAGCCCAGGAATTCAAGGCTGTAGTGAGCTATGATTGCACCACTGCACTCCAGCCTGGGCAACAGAGTAAGATCTATCTCTATTAAAAGAAAAATGCTTGGCCGGGCGCTGTGGCTCACGCCTGTAATCCTAGCTCTTGGGAGGCCGAGGCGGGCGGATTGCTCAAGGTCAGGAGTTCAAAACCAGCCTGAGCAAGAGCGAGACCCCGTCTCTACTATAAATAGAAAGAAATTAATTGGCCAACTGATATATATATAAAAAATTAGCCGGGCATGGTGGCGCATGCCTGTAGTCCCAGCTACTCGGGAGGCTGAGGCAGAAGGATCACTCAAGCCCAGGAGTTTGAGGTTGCTGTGAGCTAGGTTGACGCCACGGCACTCACTCTAGCCTGGACAACAAAGCGAGACTCTGTCTCAAAAAAAAAAAAAAAAATGCTTGACCGGGTGCGGTGGCTCATGCCTATAATCCTAGTACTCTGGGAGGCCGAGGTGGGCGGATCACTGAAGGTCAGGAGTTCGAAACCAACCTGAGCAAGAGTGAGACCCTGTCTCTACTAAAAATAGAAAGAAATTAATTGGCCAACTGATATATATATAAAAAATTAGCCGGGCATGGTGGCGCATGCCTGTAGTCCCAGCTACTCGGGAGGCTGAGGCAGAAGGATCACTCAAGCCCAGGAGTTTGAGGTTGCTGTGAGCTAGGTTGACGCCACGGCAATTTTGGGCACAGGTGTAAACAAGCCACTGAGGTATGAAGCACTAGATACTGTAAGTGAGGTAAACATAATTTCTCTCTCTTCTTCTCTCTCTCCTCAGCGCCCGCTATGGGCACTGGCATAAGAATAAGGCCCCAGGAGAGTACCGCAGTGGCCCCCGCCTCATCATTTTCATCCTTGGGGGCGTGAGCCTGAATGAGATGCGCTGTGCTTACGAGGTGACCCAAGCAAACGGAAAGTGGGAGGTGCTAATAGGTGAGTCTGCATGCTTCCTAGAGGAAGGAGCTGCCTCATCGCACTTTGACTCCATTCCACGCTTTGGTGTCGCGGTCTGTCTTAGACTCTGTTACCCCTGCAAAACTTGTCTCTAGGAAACTGGGGATGGCAGAAGCTAAGGAGCAGAGGGTTCTCTCCTCACACGTGCCCTACTGTGTCTCCTGCTGAAAGGCAACACCATGATCTATGCCAGATCATAGAGTCCAGCTGGCTCAGGCTCAAATTTCTGCCCTGCTACTGCTCAGTGGGGTCACCTTGAGCAAGTGACTCAACTCTCCAAACTGCCATTTGCTTGTCGAACAACTTGGGTTTAGTAGCACACACTTATAGCCTTGAACTGAGTCTGAGATGAGATTTATCAGTTTCCTGGCACTGGGCCTCACGCCCAGGAATGCACAGTGGATAGTGGGTAGGTTATCACCCTTCTCCTCCACCCAGGTGCAGATGGACAGACAGCTTGTGAGCAGATACTGCCTGAAACCTCCAGGCTAGGCTGGTGGGCTCTGCTCAGGTCCCTGCACTAGTTCCTACCACCTTCTAGTTCTGCCATACCTTTTCTCATATGTCCTGTTAGTTTCCCAAAGGAGGGTAAGCAACTCATGGGAGCTGGTTTAAAGCAGCAGGAGGCTTTTCTCCTTTTTCATGCCTTTAGCAGCTTCTATTAATATAATTTTTAGGGCTGGAAGAGGAAGAGTTAGCTGAGAAAAATCTTGCTTTCTCCAGATGCCTTCCTTTTTGTCCTGTCTTACCTTTAAAGAAACAGAGTGGTGCCTGCCTGTGCAGGGGTCCCTCTCGACACTCTCTGGCAAGAGGCTGTTATATACACTGCCCTGGCTGGACTCTGCCCTCAGTGGAAGCATGTTCATGCTGAGTGAGGCATGAGGCCAGTGTTCTTGGTCTCCCTTTGGAGGGGGGTGTGCTCTGCACCTGGTGGGGAATTATACCCTCCAGAGCCTAAGGATTGCCTTTCAGACCATTCACATATGAGCTGTTACAGACAGAGGCCTTGAGCTGCCCCAGCTGGGAAAGCTGCTCTGACTTCTCCCTGTAGGTGCATACTACTGGTCATAATCCCAGGCATAGCCATTATCTCGGTAACAAGTGTCAGTTTTATATCTCCAAAGTAGGGTGACCAAGTCACAGTGTCCCCCAAACTATCCAAGCAAGTAGTCTCCATAGACTAGTCCAGATGACTATTCTGGGTTTACCAAGATGGACCTGAGGCTGCCAACCCACCTTCTTGATACCGCAGTCCAGTGGGGAGATTATACATCCCCACCCAGCTCCCTCAAGCTCCCCTTGTCCGGTCACCAGTTTTCTCTGTAATTTTTTTTTCCTATTGTTATGTAGGCCCCAGTTGCAAAGCCCTCTCTTCCCTGCTTGCATATGTGCTGCATGAATGTGTTGGATAATTCTGAGCCAAACACAGCTTTCCTGGGCACAAGCTGTCCTAGCCAGGCTTTGGGTATAAATCTTCGTCTTCATCTGTGGACCTGAGTGAGGCCCCCTGTGGGAGGTGGAGACATGGGGTTGTGAAGTTGCCCATGCAGATTCATGAAGGGGCCTTGGCAGATAGCTGATGTCCACTGTGTGGCCTCACCTGCTTCATGCATGCCAGTGCCTTGCTGCCTGTGTGTGTGTTGTATGTGCGTGCGTGTTCGTCTTGCATTCTCATACCTCATTGGCTGCCTAAAATGTAGGCCTAAGTTGGCATGTTCCTGTAACGTACCTTTGTTCAAGCAGTCAGCTGGCCTCTGTTCTCCCGCAGGTTCTACTCATATTCTTACTCCCACCAAATTTCTCATGGACCTGAGACACCCCGACTTCAGGGAGTCCTCTAGGGTATCTTTTGAGGATCAGGCTCCAACAATGGAGTGAGAGCCAAAGAAACAAAGTAAAAGCAGCTTATTTCAGAAAAGAAACTCTTCCACTCTGAAGGGTTTTCTTTGGTTATTCCGTCACTCTTTTTCTTTATTTTTCCCTTTTTAGTTTATTATTTATTTGATTTTCTTTTAACAAGAAAATGCTTGCGGTTCTTAACACCGATTGAAAATGTGTCCAATGCTGCCTTCACAATCCTGCCATGAACCTCCCGGGCTCCGACGTGCCAGCTCACTCATGCCTTGGGTTACTTGCTGCTCAGCCAGACAGGTGCAGGCCGCTGGGTTTAAACCAAAAATGATGGTGACTGCGAACAGTCCTCAGACAGGGAGCTGGAGTTGTGTGATGCCTGAGGCACAGTACCCAAGCCTGTTGGCCCAGGGGTGAATTTATGGGTCCCCCCTGGGAATGTAGAGTGTCCTGGTTATGACAGGCATGAGAGCTTGAGTGAGGCCAAAGAGGTCCAGGGAAGGGCAAGTCCAAGAAGGCAGGCATCTGGTGGAGATGCCCATGGGCGCCTATTGTGAGGAAAGCTTGGAAAGGAACATCGGAATAGACCCAGGTCAATAGTAGTTAGATGTGTCACTAGCTTTTTCCTAGGACAGGCACATCCCCAGGAACAAGTTCTAAAGGGTGATTGGGTCACAAGCCACCATGTGCCGGGGAACTCCAGTCTTCAGTGGGAAGAGCTTTTGTCTCATGTTCCTCTGTAGAAAATGGCAGTTAACAGTCATTTGCTCTTTCAGTAATTGCATTCCTTTTAATTTTCCTGTGGGTCCTTTGAAGAGTTGAGTAGTCACACCCCTCTCTCTCACTGAAGTCTCTTGGTAATGTCTGAGACCCTTTTAGTAGAAATATTTTCTTCATACTCTGTGTGGTTTTAAAGAGCATCTTCTTGGCCAGGCGCGGTGGCTCACGCCTGTAATCCTAGCTCTCTGGGAGGCCGAGGCGGGCGGATTGCTCGAGGTCAGGAGTTCGAAACCAGCCTGAACAAGAGCGAGACCCCGTCTCTACTATAAATAGAAAGAAATTAATTGGCCAACTGATATATATATAAAAAATTAGCCAGGCATGGTGGCTCATGCCTGTAGTCCTAGCTACTCGGGAGGCTGAGGCAGAAGGATCGCTCGAGCCCAGGAGTTTGAGGTTGCTGTGAGCTAGGCTGACGCCACGGCACTCACTCTAGCCTAGGCAACAAAGTGAGACTCTGTCTCAAAAAAAAAAAAAAAAAAAAAAAAAGCATCTTCTTTCTCCCATCAAGTTTGTTCTCCAGGAACCCATTATCTGTTTGGTAGACTATGCAAAATTTTGTACTTCAAAACTATCCTCATTTCTTTGTCTCTCTTCCCATCCTTCGTATATGTTGGGAAACTCCTATACTGTGTTTAAATGGCAGATTGATGCCACCCCACTCCATCATAGCATTAGCAATTCCTTAGCTTTATTATATATTCTGTGTTGAGGCCACATTTTGTGTACCTGACTTTGTATACACCATTAACAGGGAACCCTGAAAATGCCCCTTCACCTGAGCTGAGTTGTGGCCCAGTGAGTCTTGGAGCATGAGTCCCCTGTGAGCAGAGATAGAGACCTGGACACACAGCCAGAAGGACTGGCCTCCACCCTAACTCCTCCATGAGCACCTGTGTGGCTGTAGCACGTCATCCCCACTCTCTGGGCCACAGCATACCTGCACAGGGAGGCTAGATCACAGTGCCCCCGGGACTGTGAGCTCTAATAGGCTGTGAATTCAGTGATTCAGGTTTGTGCCTCAAACCATACAATCCTACCCACTCTCGCTTTCTGGTGAACCTCAGGGGAGTGGCCTGTCAGAGCCCTGGCTAGGTAACATCAGAAGTGTGCTTGTTTATATAGAGAAAATGGTGCTGCGCCCTAGAGGTAGGAACAGGAGGCCACACAGTTTATCTCCTCCCCCTCCTTTCCTTGGCAGGGGGTGGCATACTCCAGTGCAGCAGTGTGCTAAGAGATAGCAAGTAGTTGGGAGCAAGGAAAGTGTACCTGGTTATGGCCCTGAGCTACAGCTGCTATTCTGTCTGGGCTTGCTTTCCCCTAGAAAGCAAGGCCATGGGTGGTGAATAAAAGCAATTGTTTTTTTTTTAAAATTAAAAATCATTCCTTAGAAGCACCTTTATAGGTTGTTAATCAGAGACATCTGGTTCTGTGTGCATATGGCAGGTAGGTGGGCAGCCTTTGCTGCAAGATGTATATTGAGACTTCTAGGCCAGGTGCGGTAGCTCACGCCTGTAATCCTAGCACTCTGGGAGGCCGAGGCGGGTGGATTGCTCGAGGTCAGGAGTTCGAAACCAGCCTGAGCAAGAGTGAGACCCTGTCTCTACTATAAATAGAAAGAAATTAATTGGCCAACTAATATATATATAGAAAAAATTATCCAGGCATGGTGGTGCAGGCCTGTAGTCCCAGCTACTTGGGAGGCTGAGGCAGTAGGATTGCTTGAGCCCAGGAGTTTGAGGTTGCTGTGAGCCAGGCTGACCCCATGGCACTCACTCTAGCCTAGGCAACAAAGCAAGACTCTGTCTCAAAAAAAAAAAAAAAAAAAAAAGACTTCTAGAAGGACAAATAAATGTTCAGTCAGGACTACAGTAATCGAAGATCACTTGTAGGATCTGAAAGAATCACAAACCCAAACCCCAAGGGCTCCTGCTAGGATTAATTCTGGGGTTTCCTGCTTCAGAAATGTCTCCTTTGCAGAGTATATTCCTTTGTTTTATATTTGATGAGCAGAGGGAGAACAAATAGGCTCTGGTTGTATATTCTTGGCTTCTGAAATAATTTGCTGGGCAGTGTTGGATTTTAGAGAATTCAGTTAAGAAGAAGCAAGGCACAGAGCCCTCTTACCAGTGAGGTCAGAAGCAGATTGAAACCTGATTTGCTCCCTTCTGTTGTGATCGTGCAGGCAACTGAAGTACGGAACAATGCAGAAGCTTAGAGAGGTGTGTTTTCTCCTAAATACCCGTATCGTGGCAACTTCTCTCTTAAGAAAGGATGAGTTTTCCTGCCCAGCAGCCAATGCGAGTGTTCCCAGCAGGTACATGGGTGATGGTGCCTCACTCTGGCCTCTGCTCCCTCTTGTAGCTGAGGCTCCCAGGGTCTGGGCAACTCCAAGTCTCATCTTAATCCCCACTAATCATCCCTCCAAATGTTCTAGGAAATGAAATCTTTTGATTAGATTTTTACCTCCATGCTCTAGTTGGTTTATGTTAAAAGTACCAGTCAGTGGGGAGTGTCCAGGAGGCTGTCAGAAGTTAATGAGAGAGAACCAAAAGGCTGGATTAGAGCCATTGCATTACATCAACCATTTGGGAGAAAGCTTTTATGGTTTTATATTGAATCGTTAGTTCTATTCCAGATTGGGGTCAGGTAAGTTTCCTTCTTCACTGGGACTCAGATTTGAATCTGAATTCAGAGTCTACCTATTGTCCACTCCTATTCAAGTATCCACTTGTTCATGCCACCCCGCCCTGCCCCACCCCACCCCTCAACAGGGCCATAGGTGCCCAGAATCGAGAGCCCAGAGACTGGGCCTGGCTGTGCCATCTCCCACCCTGAGCGAGTACCCGACTGGCCTCGCCTTCATTCTGCATTTTTCCCATCTGCAAATTGGGAAGAGTGGCCAGATCTCTGCTTTCCAAACCTGGCTGAATATCACACTCACCAGGGTTGCTCTTAAACTTATACATTCTCTGGCACCACCCTGGGTATTCTGAATCAGTAGATCTGTTTCAGCCAAATTCAGCAGTGGCTAGACCAGTAGTCTGTAAGAACTCTTGATTTTTCAGATTCTGTCAGTGTAAAAAGGATTTTGACCTATCAGAGCTTGCTGTGTCTAGCCGGCAGCTTTGAAAACATGTCAATTGGCGAGTCAGTCATTTGGCGAGGCCTCAACTTAGTTTTGGGGGACCACTATTTACATTTCATAATCTTCCAGTTATGTGGACTAAAAGGGCCCCTCAGAGCAGTAGAGCCCACTTGCTGCCCTGTCCTGGAAGACCAGTGTAGGCAGCTGCCTGTGCATCCACAATGAGAACACTTGTAAAATGTGGATTAGGGACTCACCAGCTCAACTTGCAGTGTTTACAGTGGTGAAAAGCTTGACCAACGTTATTGAAACAATACAGATTATTGAGTGACGGGAATTGGCTTTCAGGTGAATTGGGTTAATGCCAACTAGTCTGGTCCCTTTAAAGAGCGCAGATAAGTGACAGCTCAGAAACATGCTTATTGCTAAGAGTCTTAGAGGCCTCACTGGTTGTCTCTGACACTCAGTCCTAGAATTTTTCTTCTTTAGTCAAGACTGGGAACACTGATGATCAGTGATCAGATAATATCAGAAACTTCTAGAACATGGATCCCCTTGCCTCCCCCAAATCCTGAATTTGCATACAAGCAAGGGTAGGGAGCACTTTGGGGTAGGGAGCAACTGTGCAGAAGAACCCCTTCTGATTATTCCTCTAAATCGAGTCTACCTTCTTGTTTCCCGGAACTCAATTGGATGGCCAGGGATGAGGGCATTAGGTGCTGTTTTCTCTGGCATGTGCACTGGTTGTTGCCTTTAACTAGGAAGTCCCCAAGCCAAACCGTACTCTGTATGAGAGGCTGTCTTTCGGTGTCTGTCTAGACTGATGGGCTGCGTTGAGCTGTGATTGGGAAGGCCCTCATCCTGGAGATGGTTGACTCTTCAGAGCTGAGGCAAACCTCTTAACATTTCTATCCTTTTCCCTTGTTTGCACAGAAGCCTTTGACCTCCCTTAGGACTAGTAGGAAGATTGGCAAGGTCACAGGAATAAGTGGACTTTAGGAGAAAGGGGTGCTGTAACAGCACCCAGGGACACACTCCTGAAACCTGCATCACATGTGCTTAAGAAGCCTAAGATCGGCAGAATGACAAGTCTGCTTTAGAGTACAGGAGCTGGTGCAGGCTGCCTGCTCCAGGCATCGTGCTTGGTGTCCCTGGGAAGTAGCCAGGGACACGGAGTCCTCACTCAAGAGTGGCAAGTGGGCAGCTGGGACTTGAACTGCAGAGAACAGGATGTTGGAAAAAGTCTCTTGAGCTAGTGGGGGCTTTACAAGTTTTCTGCTGGTCTGGACTGACCAGGAAGGCCCATGGTTCCAGCAGTCCCAGGTCAGCTGAGCAAGTAGTGTCAAAGGCATACGGACCCGGTATTGGAGTCATGCCTAATGAGCCAGCCAAAGCCTTTTTTTGCCTGCCCTTGGGGTGGAAACTGGCATCCGGTGGTTTCCACTCCCTAACTCCCATGAAGGCCCATCCCCTGCCCACCTCTCCAGGGAGGCACATTTTCAAGTACGGGTCTCTTTTGTTTAGTTCTTCTCTCCTACCAGGACCTTTCTTTGAAGCCCACTGCTGCATGCATGCGTGCGAGCCTCATACTCACTCACACACCACCCTAGTCACCTCTCTTCTGTTTGATCAAGTCCATGTCCAAAAACTACACGATCCATGCATCTTTTTTTACTGCACTTATTAGATCTCTCTCTCCTTATGAAAAAGGCCTTCATTTATTTATTTTTTATTTTTTTATTTTTGCAGTAGAAGTATATCTATATTCCATTAGCTTAAATTTTTGCAAGCATTTCTAATCTCTTACAATGTGCGGTCTCTGCAAGGTAAGGCCTCAGGTCCCCCACCCTTTCCCTCTCACACCTGAGGTCCCACCCACCAGGGCAGCACCACTTACCACTCGGCTGGTTCCCAGAGGTCAGGGAATTCCCTGGGGGCTTTGCCCATGAGCTTCCTTTCTACCAGGCACCATGTCCCCCTGCCGGCCCCTGCCCCATTTGCAACCTTTCTCCCTGCCATGTTTGGAATTTCTCTCCCTGGCTTACCTTGAGTTCAAGAGAGAGTTAGAAATGCCTCTGCCCCATCACCTAGCAGATGGCTCCGAGCCCTGTTGGAGAGGTGGCTCACTCCTTGGTATAGCCTGGGACCCCACATGTTGCCCAGGCCTATTGTGACAGAGCCACAAACCCCAATCCCTAGCCCCCTCCCTGCTTCCACTAGGCCCCGTCCAGGGTGGGGGAGGGGATGGTGCCATTGGGAGTGGAGGAGCAGGAGGGGATGTGTCTGCACTTAAGACTGGCTGGCTCACTGTCTTCTCTGCCTCCCCAGGATCCACGCACATTCTCACCCCACAGAAACTGCTGGACACACTGAAGAAACTGAATAAAACAGATGAAGAAATAAGCAGTTAAAAAATAAGCCGCCCCTCCAAACACGCCCCTCTCCCCCGCAGTGCTCTGCAGCTCCCTACTGTGCCCCTTGGTTACTTTGCTGACTTTCTATCTGTTGCCTCCCCAGCCCTGCACGTCCTGGCTGGCACTGTCGCCACTGCGTTCTCCTGTTTAATGATGCCCTCTTCTAGTTTGAAACAAAAGAAAATAATGCATTGTGTTTTTTAAAAAGAGTATCTTATATATATATCCTAAAAGGAGAGGTTCATGTGCAAATGATGCACTGCAGGAGAAGTTTTTGAACTGTTTAGAATGAATGGACACCTTCTCCCCAGTATTTATGATTCTGTAACCTTGTACATAAACCCTATGCGACGTGCAAATTGCTTGAGTATGGAAAGGTAGAAGTTTGAGTGTTTTTAAAAACTGGTTTTGGATTGTTCCTGTTCTCATTGGGAATCGTAGAGATGTCTGTGTTCCTAGAGTATTTCACACTGAGGATTGATCTGTTGTCTTCACTCCAGTCCTACCCCTCCGTATCTGCTCCCATCCAGACCAGCCAGAAGTGACCATCAGGGGACACCTCGTGAGAGTTAAAGAACAGGCCTCTTCACTTTTCCCAGAGGCATGTCCCTGCTGGGCATGCCCCTGGTAGTACAGCTGTGTTTGGGGCCTGGGGTGTCCTCATGAAGCCAGGCTGGCATCCCCTCCTTCACGGCATGTCCCTGCTCCCTCCGTGGCGTGTGTCCACAGTATTGGTATCCCAAGGGAAGTCCGTCTCCAGTCAGCATCATGGTGCCCAGACAAGTAAAAAGCAAACTCCCACCGGAGACCGTTGCCTCTTCTGGAGAAGCAGTTAGACCTGATTATCTTGACCAGAGCCCTCCTCCCCCAGGTGTCACCCCTAACAGCTCAGTTTCCTCAGTAGGGTCAACCTTAGTTCAAGCATCAGGAACGAACTAGAACAGATGGGTCTGGAGGCCCCTGGTTAGAGGGCCCTTGGCTGTGGAGGAGGTTCTTAGCCTGAAGAACAGCCTGTTGGATTTATGCAGACCCTGTGCCTACTCCGCAAGCAACTTTTGTCAAGTTATCCTCAGTTTAAGATACTTCATAATAGTTTATTTTGTGTAGTGTGGGGTCATATGTCATTGTGCTTGTAAGAGAAAATGATTATTTTATTCTCTGTATAAAAACTTAGCTGTATAAAAACTTAGCTCTAATGCAAAAATTAAAGAAACAAATGCAAGAAGGATGTCTCATCCTCAAGACTCAGCAGTTCTCGTCTCCAGTGGTGAGCACACCATTTGTTCTGCTGCTGTTGTCTCGAAATATAATGACAGTGGAAGTCACAAAAATGTCCCCTGCCCAGCCCCTTGCCGCCCTCGGCCTCCCGCAGCCTGTGTGTATATTACCCGTCTCGTGCCGTGTTGCAACCGTGGTGTATGCTAGCTCCGCGCCTTCCTCGGTCTGTTCCCCGCTCTCCCGTTAGATGCATCGTGGTGTTCTCTTCCCAAGGCTTTGAGATCTCCCCTTTGCACTCAGATGAGTTTTCAGGTCTCTCCCCTCTGTCTCCCTCCCTCCTAAGATATCTTATTTCCGTAGAACAGAACTGTAGACGCTTGCGTTGGTTTGTTTCTTTCTCCTTCTGCTCGTTTGTCCCCTCCTCGGACCAAACAGTGCTCGTGCTTCGGGACCTTGTTTGTCCAACAAGTTGTTTTCCCTTTCTCTGTTATTTATATAAAAATAATTTATCAAAAGGATATTTTAAAAAAGCTAGTCTGTCTTGAAACTTGTTTACCTTGAAATTATCAGAATCTCAATGTTTGAAAGTATTGAAGCACAAACATGTATCATCTCTGTACCGTTCTGTACTAAAGCACTTGAGTCTAATAAATAAAGAAATTAGAAGTCAGTGTCCCTTCACGATGTCCAGGGTGCCTCCTGGTCTGTTCTTACTCTGGAGAGTGGAAGGAGAAAGTCCCGCAGTAGTCACTGCAGAGGGGCTGGCCACCCCCGGCTGTGGCTTGGACCCAGGTCCAAGTCACCATCACTTGCGTTAGTAGCTGTCTCACATTTGGGGACAATCCACGAAGCTTGTCTTGGGCCTATAGCAGCACCAGAACATTGCCTAGAGCTGAGGCAGTTCTCTGCAGGGCCTCTGGCGCAGACCCCCAGGGCTCTGTCTCTGTGGATGCTCCCTACTCAAGCGGGTGGCGTCCCCATATTCAGGGTATGCAGTGAGGTCACTTCCTCAGCATCACTGCTGTCCCATGTGCCTGCTACCACACCATCCAGCCCACATGTGTAGTGACCTTCTCTCCAGGTTGCAAGCTGGTGTGTGTCCTGCTTGTTTTGGAACCTGCTTGTGACCCAGGGAGACTGTAACGAGGTTGGCCCAGCTGGAAGACTGGACCCTTAAGTAAGGGTCAAGGCCACACAGGAAACCTGCTGGAATGCTGGCCAAGAGGAGTGGGACTCTTCGTAGGAACTTCTATTTCTACTTTTTTGTCCCCCATCACTGCTTCGAATCCTGATGTCCTTCACAGCTCTGAGAAGCCTGACAACATTAGGCCAGGGGTGGAATCCGCACCACCCCAGCCCTGCTGTGGCCTGGCGAGACACGCCTTATGAGGAGATAATGATGGTGGTGACCATGCCAGGCCCCTCACATACCTTGTCTATTAGGAGTGTCCTCCCCTATTTTACAGGTGAGGAAGCTGAGGCTCAGAGAGAAGCAGAAACTCACAAAGCTCACTCTGTGGAGCGGCTGACACCCATGATCTCACATAAGTAGTTACTTCACCAGCAACCCAGATGCCTTAGAATGAGATCCAAGATTAGAATTTTTACGTTTTTTTTAATATTTAGTAATTTTAATTTTTATCTCTTTATTTTTTTTCCCTGACAAGCCTTGAAAGGATTAGAACTTTTAAATTCTAAATTGTTCTGAACTGAATTTACATTAAAGCAAAGTCAGTAGTTTGCTGCTTCTTCCCAGGGTCATCTGTCCCTGCAGGCCCATGGGAGTGACTTTCTAGTCTCCCTGGTTGTTTCTGACATCTTCTGCCCAAGCATTCATCTGCCACCCTCCCCATTCCACCCTCACTGCCACCCAAGAGCAAATGAGCATGGCCCCTTGTGCTCCTGGCCAAAGTCCTGGTCCTCTTGCGTCACACACCACAGATGGAGTCTGCAGCCCATTCCTCCAAAACATCCCCAATGGTGTTAAATATCCCTAGAGGGGCAGGGAATTTCAGAACAGCCTGACGGCTGGATCACTAACTCAGCCATACTGACACTGAGACAGGCCCATGAGCTGCAGCTGGTCACTCTGCCTTTCAAAGGCCCTGGGCCAGGCTGGGGGGTCTCAGCAGATCCTGCTGAGGAGGCAGCACACCCGTCTCAGAATGACAGGCATTTGTTCCTGGGGAGGCGGAGAGAGCAGAGTGGCTTGGAGCACAGAGCTCCGCATCAGCCGACCTAGGTCAAATCCACTCTCAGCCCCTTTCCACAAGACCTTGAGAAGGGACTTTGTCATAGCCTGTGGAAGAGGCTATGATACCAAGTCTTTTTTTTTTTTTTGAGACGGAGTCTCGCTTTGTTGCCCAGGCTAGAGTGAGTGCCGTGGTGTCAGCCTAGCTCACAGCAACCTCAGACTCCTGGGCTCAAGCAATCCTGCTGCCTCAGCCTCCCAAGTAGCTGGGACTACAGGCATGCGCCACCATGCCCAGCTAATTTTTTCTATATATATGAGTTGGCCAATTAATTTCTTTCTGTGTATAGTAGAGACGGGGTCTTGCTCGTGCTCAGGCTGGTTTTGAACTCCTGACCTTGAGCAATCCGCCTGCCTCAGCCTCCCAGAGTGCTAGGATTACAGGCGTGAGCCACCGAGCCCGGCCTGATACCAAGTCTTGAAACAAAAATTAAACCCCTGTCGAAGCTGAAAGCCTTCAAAGAGTAGATTCAAGATTAAGGTAGATTGCAACAGTGGCCACAGGACTTTGCTGGTCCTCCCATCTGATCTGGGCTGCCTGTGACTTGCTTTGATCAATGTGGCAACAGTGAGCTTGTGCCATTTCCAAGCCCAGGCAGACCTGAACAGGCCAAGCAGCTTCTGCTCTATGCTCTTATGAGCAAGCTGGTCTGGTCTGCCTGGTGACGAGAGGCTGTCCCTCCACTGCCCCAGCCACAGCAAGCTACACTAGACATGTGAGTGACTAACTGGGCCAAGCCCACCTGCCAAGTGGCTACACTGGTGAGCCCCACTGAGATCAGACAACAGGAGGCTACACCAGAAGAACCCTCCCCCCAGCAAATCATGAGCTCAATAAATAATTGTTGTGTGAAGCCAGTGAATTTCAGGGTAGCTTGTTATGCAGCAAAGGTAACTGATATAGGCTTTAATTTGCAGCTACCTCTCAAATCAAACATTCCACCTTCCAGCTTTTAAGTGTGTGATATACGTACCAACCTAATTTGTGACAGAGCAGAGTATATTTCATCGCTCTCAGGGTTGTGTTTGATCTGAATTATCAAGAATTCCCTGGCACATGCTTTCATTTCCTGGGTGTTAGAATGTTCCAATTTGGTGGAAATAAAGAGTAAAACAAACCAAAATGACCTGACCTGCTATTCAAGTCATTGATCCAGATGAATACCCTGTCCTGAGTAAATGGCTGCAAACAATACCCTCCCTGTGGCTGATGGGAAACTATTCTGCTAGATTCATGTGTGTGTTTTTATTCAAAAGTTTTTTGATGAATCTTTTCTTTTCCAAACTTACATAACGTTACTGGGCTGTGTGTGCGCTCATTGCCCACTATGGTCAACTCCAATTGCCACTTTAGTAGGCACACTCTGGGGCTGCCCACCCAACAGCCGTGCCCCCTTCTTTCTCCTTAGGAAACCTGGGCTGTTGAGCGAGCCATCCGCCACCCCGACTTGGCTTCCTCAAGCCAGTCCCTTCCGTCTTGTGCCCCTGGTCAGGGACTGGTTTGGGCACCAGCATGGGCAATTCGCCAGATTGAGGGACTTCTGGAAGGGGTTCCTTGCAGAGAACAAGACACCCAGAAAGGACAAGAGAGATGTTCCCTTGCCCTCTGCAGGGGACAGCCCCTGCTTGGGATGCTCAGGCATCTTGGCCCCTCAGGAGAGCCACGCCAACACCATGACACAAGGGCTGTCCTGCAACCATGAGCGGTTTCCCACAAGGCCAACTTACTGGAGTCTCGCAGAAGCGAAAACGCCTGAGTGACGCCCTGGCAGGTGGGGGACACGGCCGCTCCCTTAGGAGGAGGGTGGCTCTGGCTGGGCAGGACTTGCCTGGGGCTGCCCGAGAGCGCCTTCTGCCCGGCAGCCCACGCTCGCCAAACTAAGCGGAAACTGCCTAAGGACATGAGCTTTAACATCGGCACTTAACAGTGTGACGGAGGACAAGCCGCGCATCCCTGAAACCAGAACAGCGGGATTCAGATGCGCCGGGTGGCCGGCGCTTGGGAGACACCTGCTCCCTGTGAGGGCGCGGGACAGCCGGGCCTCCTGGGTTTGGGGGACTGCAACAAGCCGCACTGTCTAGGGATTGGTTGGCTCTGGTGTAGGGGCAGGGTTACTGGAGAAAAGCAGTTGCTGATTGGCTGGCTTTCCGAGGGGGTTATTGAAGTGTCATTCATTGATCACAGAGTTTAGAACTGGTTCTGGTTGGTTACCTGTTACCATAGCCGCAGAGCGATCAGTCTTTTCCTAGGAGAACGGGCACTTTTAATTCTCAGTGTTTACTTCATAAGGGTTACCAGGGCTTTGGAGTGGGGCCTGGATTTGACTAATGACTTCCCTGTGTGACCCAGAGGAGTTACTTAAACCTCAATTTTCACGTCAGTATAATGAGAATAATATATTAATAAGTGCCTCTCATATAGGACTGCTGTGAGGATCAAATATGATCATCTATGCAAGCCCTTAGGACAATGCTTAGCACATAGTAAAAGTTATAATTGTCACTCAAGAGTGTCCATGCTGGCTTTTTAACAGGTTACCCCCTCACCCTGCTCCAATCCTTCATCTTATGCCACTGGGGGGATCTGTCACATGCAAGTTGGAACCTGTATTCCCATTGCACATGGAATAATAGGCTGCTCCTTCTCTGGGCTGGGAAGCTTATTGGTCTGGCCAGCTGTCTCTCTGGCCTTGCTGTTGTCTGCTTTCTCCCCTCCAGGCTGCAGCTTCTCTGGCCTTTATCAAACTTGAGGGGCTTTCCCCTGCCTCAAGGCCTTTGCACTCTCTTTCCACATCCCACCTCCCCACTCCACCCCATCTTCTCCTCCAAGTCTAGCACCTCTGTGATGGAATCCATGATGGAAGCTGTTCCTGACTTCATGCTCTTGGAGCTCTTTGCACCTTCCCCTCACAGCATCACCTCAGAGGTGTAATTCTGCTACTTGTGTTCACATCTGATTAACACCTTCACCAATACAAACAAGGCCACTCAACTTTATAAGGGAAAAAGAGGTGGAGTCTATTAATTGAATAAAGAAAGGGAATGAATGAATGAAGACACCCAATCAAGAGTCAGATATTTTGTAGCCAGACAGGCTCTAGCGCTGGAGTCAGGAGTGATTTGACAATTTAGATGAAGACGTAAACAATCCGATTTTTGAAGAATTCAAATAGATTGGACATTTTACGAGGGAAATGAGTGGAGCATTCAGGTTCACCAGTTCTGAGATGAACAGCCCAGCCCCCTTGCTCAGCAGGGCAGGCACTCCTGACTATGTTAACTCTTGGAGGAACTGCCAAATCATTTTCAACATAGCCACACCATTTTACATTCCTAGCAGTGAGGGTTCCAACTTTTCCACATCCCTGACAACACTTGTTATTATGTGTCATTTTTACCCATTCTAGTAGGTGTGAAGGAGTATCCTATCGTGGTTGTGATTTGTACTTCCTTAATGACTGATGATATTGAGCATCTTTTAATGTGCTTATTGCTTATTGAATGTGCCATTTCTATATCTTCTTTGGAAACCATCTATTCATATCCTTTGCCTATTTTTATTATTTATTTATTTATTTATTTATTTTTGAGACAGAGTCTCACTTTGTTGCCCAGGCTAGAGGGAGTGCCGTGGCGTCAGCCTAGCTCACAGCAACCTCAAACTCCTGGGCTCAAGCAATCCTGCTGCCTCAGCCTCCCGACTAGCTGGGACCACAGGCATGTGCCACCATGGCCAGCTAATTTTTTCTATATATATTAGTTTGCCAATTAATTTCTTTCTATTTATAGTAGAGACGGGATCTCTCTCTTGCTCAGGCTGGTTTCGAACTCCTGACCTTGAGCAATCCGCCAGCCTCGGCCTCCCAGAGTGCTAGGATTATAGGCGTGAGCCACCGCGCCTGGCCTTTTGCCCATTTTTAAATTAAGTTATTTGTTTTATTGTCAAGTTGTAACATTGTTTATATATTCTGAACATAAGTCCCTTATCAGATATATGATTTGCAAATGTTTTCTCCTATTCTGTGGTTGTCTTTTCACTTTCTTTATGGTTCCTTTTGATGCCCAAAAGTTTGTAATTTTGATGAAGTCCAATTGTCTATATTTTGTCTTTTGTTGCTTGTGCTATGGTGACATATTTATGAAATTATCATCTAACCCAAGCTCATGAAGATTTACTCCTATGTTTTCTCCTAAGATTTTTATAGTTATAGCTCTTACATTTAGGTCTGTGATCTATGCTGACTTAATTTTGTATATGGTGTGAGATAGGGGTCCAATTTTATTCTTTTGTATATGTCTATCTAGTTACCCCAGCACTATTTGTTTAAAAAGTATTCTTTCCCCTGTTAAATTGTCATGCCACCCTTGTTGAAAATCAGTTGAGCATGGCCGGGCACAATGGAGCATGCCTATAATCCTAGCACTGTGGGAGGCCGAGCGGGGAGGACTGCTTGAGATCAGGAGTGTGAGACCAGCCTGAGCAACAGAAAGACCCTGTCTCTACTAAAAAATAGAAAAAATTAGCCGGGCATGGTGGTATGCACCTGTAGTCCCAGCTACTTGGGAGGCTGAGGCAAGAGGAGTGCTTGAGCACAGGAGTTTGAGGTTGCTGTGAGCTAGGCTGACACCACTGCACTCTAGCTGGGGTGACAGAGTGAGACTCTGTCTCAAGAAAAGAAATGATGTCCAACCTTCTTTGATCTAAATTTGTATGGATGTGTCATTATACATGTTCTAGAAACTATGAAATTCCTAGAAACTTATGTTATCAGTCATAATTTTGGTTATTATGGCAAAACATTATGCCACAGAAATAATCAAATCTCCTTGTCAATTGTTGGTTATAATGGACTCTCATCAGATCTTTAACCCTGGGCATTTTAAGTCTTAGCCACAGTTAATTGCTCTATCCTAATGCTTTTTCTGGAAGTTCTTTGTAAACTATAACCCTAAAATCCTGGGTCTTCAAGAAAATCCATGGAAAAGATGCTGACAAATACAGGTTTCTGGTAACTTTAAGATCATATCACTGGAAGGGGTGAGCATTTCCAGAGCTCTAATGAAGAAATTGATGCCTTCATGCAACTGCTAACCAAGATCAAGCAGAAAAATATTAATTACATAGGATGAAGTGAACTGATGCAGATAATTTATAATGACTTTTTTATTTGCAATGTTGCTGATTCCCTAAATGTTTTATTTTCTAGATTTAAAGAAATGTTTTCGCTTATCCATCTACAGCTTATAACAATTCAGTAAAGTATACATTTGTAAATAAAAATTGAAACACTTACTTTTTCTCCCTACCTGATCACTCCAGAATTTGGAAACTATTTGTGAGTATTCTTATTTTTATGGCAATATAGTTATCTGCATAAGTTTGATAAGAATCTGTTCTCAGCCGGGCACGGTGGCTGAAACCTATAATCCCACCACTCTGGGAGGCCAAAGTGGGAGAATCACTTGAGGTCAGGAGTTCGAGACCAGCCTTAACAAGAGCGAGACCCCTGTCTCTACTAAAAATAGAAAAAGTTAGCCGGGCATGGTGTCGCACACTTGTAGTCCCAGCTACTTGGGAGGCATGAGGATTGCTTGAGCCCAGGAGTTGGAGGTTGCAGTGAGCTAAGCTGATGCCCCAGGCAACAGAGTGAGACTCTGTCTCAAAAAAAAGGATCTGTTCTCATAACAGAACACAGTTGGAAACAATGGTTATATTACCAAGGCCTTGTCTGTGATGTCATATTTGAAAATGTACACAGAATGCATTTATAGATACTGCAGGCAAAGTCTGAAATATGCTTTGGTTTGGCTTCTTGGCATTAAGAGATTTTTAAAAAGTCCAGTTGGAGATTCCTTGTCAAAAGTTCCAGCAAAGCAAACTTAAAAAGAGCCGATATGGGTCAGGTGTGGTGGTTCACACCTGTAATCCTAGCTCTCTGGGTGGCCGAGGCGGGAGTATCGCTCAAGGTTAGGAGTTCAAGACCAGCCTAAGCAAGAGTGAGATCCTATCTCTACTAAAAATAGAAAGAAATTAACTGGACAACTAAAAATATATAGAAAAAATTAGCCGGGCATGGTAGTGCATCCCTGTAGTCCCAGCTACTCAGGAGGCTAAGTCAGAAGGATTTCTTGAGCTCGGGAGTTTGAGGTTGCTCTGAGCTAGGCTGATGCCACGGCACTCTAGCCCAGGCAACAGAGCAAGACTCTATCTCAAAAAAATAAATTGAAAAAAAGAGCCTATATGGTCAATCACTATTCTCGATGTACTTATATAAATAATCAGGCTTAGATTAATGAGACTAAACTTACTTTACACACAAACTGTCTTCCTTTGATTATCTTTGGCAGAAGTGAAGATGACTGTAGAGAGAAAAATTACATCTCAGAAGAAAATCTCTAGTACACACATGTTATTATTAATAGATTGTAGCCCTGTTCATTGTCTTCAAGTTTTTATTATCTACGTCTAGACTGGACTGGATCCTGAATTCTTCTAGGTTCCTCCAATACAGTTTTTCCCATTGAATCACTAAGAACCAGAATCACTCTGTCTGAAGCCCTATAGCTGAAGCTGCACAACTTGACGTAAATTTCATGGGACAAGTCTCATGCCTGATGTGTAGGCCACACAGGGAGTTCTCAATAACAGCAGATGCCACAGACAGAGACATTCAAACTGCAAACCAGGATGCTAAGTGGATAACTACATGCTGTGGATGGCTTTTCCCAAGATGTCAGAAGAGGACTCCTTATTGTAATGAAATTCTTACCTCTTAATTTTTCCTTGGTACACCTACCTCTTTCACTGTAGCTAGAATTTCACAATTAGTAGCTTCTGCAGGTAACCTGATGAAATGTTGGATGCGCAACTGTTTTCAAATTAGACTCATGGTCCTTTTATAACATAGTCAGATTTCTAGATCTACTTGCTCTCACTCCCTGATTTAATTTAATTCAGTCATGGGATTCTAGATTGTATACTACCGGAGCAGGGAGGAATCTGTGCAGTTGCTGACACTTCCTGCTACATAGGGATAAAGACATCTGGTATTGTAGAGACTCAGTTGCAAAACTTAGCAGACTACTTAGTTAAAACGGGTGGACTTGGCCAGGCCAGGTGTGAGACTTGGCTCACGCCTGTAATCCTAGCACTCTGGGAGGCCAAGGCGGGTGGATCGATTGAGGTCCAGAGTTTGAAACCAGCCTGAGTGAGACACCGTCTCTACTAAAAAAATAGAAAGAAACTAATTGACCAACTAAAAATATATATACAAAAAATTAGCCGGGCATGGTGTCACGTCCCTGTAGTCCCAGCTACTTGGGAGGCTGAGGCAGGAGGATCGCTTGAGCCCAGGAGTTTGAGGTTGCTGTGAGCTAGGCTGACGGCACAGCACTCACCCTAGCCTGGGCAACAAAGTGAGACTCTTGTCTCAAAAAAATAAATAAAAATAAATAATAATAATAAAAAATAAAATGGGTGGACCCTTCATCTAGGTCATTCTTTGATCTATTTGATTTTAGGTGGTTGGGTTCATGAGGACCCTGGCTAAGGGGCACGCTCTGAACTCTAGGACTCTAGGTATTATCCTCCATGTAGGTGTAATAATAGTCTCCCTGTGCACTGTATTCTCTCCCAGGTTTTAAATGTTTGCACACAGCCATCTGTTAATGCCAAATGATCTCTCTCTGTCTGGACTGACAGAAACCCGAAGAAATGCATGATCCTGAGACGCTGTCACCTGTGAATAGCGTGCTGAGATGGGAAACCCAACCTGCTGGCAACTGACAGCAGCACTGATGTCCTGGGTTCAGGTCACACCCTCATCAAGGTTAGAGTCTGACCAAAAGGGGGAAATCGTTAAATAAAATTTATAGGAGGTCATTGGTTTGGACTGAGCCCCTTCACTTAGGCCCAACCAGCCAAACCAAAATGGAGCCTCTCATGCTGAGGTTCCATGTGCCAAGTGGAAACTAAGTTTATCTGACCTTCCGTGGAATCAGGAGAGTGAGAGGTTAAAACTGGTTTTAGCTGGCTTGGAAAGGACGTCCCCTCAGCTTTAACCTATGCAAGGAAAATAGTTGGAAATGACCAACCTGCTTTTTGTGCCATTCCCCCTTTCCTAGGCCTTCTCTGTGTGTATAGCCAACCCCCGTGCCCAGCTCACTGCAACACCATCCTATGGTATAGAACGAGGTGTTGCCCAATTCTAGAATTGCAAATAAAAGCCAATCAAGATCTTTAAATTTGTTGTAATTTTGTCTTTTGACAGCCCTTAGACGTAGAGTGTTTAAAGCTCTGATCCAAATAAAGTCAGTCCCCTTGGCAGAGCTGTGGGCACAACCTGGGACCGGGACCGCCGCACCCAGGCTGGGTGTGGCACCTGCTTTTCCTGGAGCCACGCCCTGCTCTGCACGTGAGCACTGGGGGGGTGGCAGCTCTGGTCTTACCCAGAGCCTCCACCCTATGAGCCAGCTGGGGTGGGGCCACCAGGATCTAAGTACTGTCACCCTGCCACACCTGCAGTAGAGCTCCTCCTTCCAGGCCGGCCTGTGTGGGGAAGTCCTGCCTGCTGTAGCTCTGGAACAGGGGGGGGGCAGTGTGGAGAAAGGCCAGCAGCATACCCCTCCCAGGGGGAAATGGAGACGCAGACCAGGAGGTGGGAGGCGAGGGAGCCCTGTCTTTTCGGCCACCTGCCCTGAGTACAGCACCCCAGGTAAAATTCCCGCAACACAGAAATAGTGGGAGGTAGGGGGAGGGCAAGTGTATGATTTTTTTTTTCTGACACCAAATACACGTCACTCTTCACACCAATTCTCCAATTCTCTGACACCAACTGGGTGCCCAACATGCAAAAATAAGTAAAATTTTAAATCTGTTGGAACCCCAAAAACAATAAGCTGTGAGAGAGATGTAACTATGATCTGAGTCACACAGTGTGTTTTGCAATTCTGCTTCTTAGATTACAGTTTAACTCTCTTGCTCATCGTTCTTGTTCTGTAAGTGACTAGGGAAGACCAGAGACCAGACCTCCCTCCTCCAATCACTGATCTTTGTTGTAGATTAACTGCCTCCTTTCTTGTCCTGTACCTAACGCAGAGGGCGCCCAAGACCCGGGACTGTTGTCTTCAAATGTGGAATGTTAAATATACCTTTCCCAAAAGAAAATGACCACCTCGACTGGTTAGATTATTGTAACTATGCATTAAGTCCTACACAGAAGGATGTTGAAATTCTGTTGAAGTTCCCTAAGCTTGTCTACATAAGCAGCCCCAAACTTCCATGCTTGGGACACTGACTTCTGCTTCCTGGGCAGGCCTGTCCTCAGCCTTTGCATTGGAATAAATTCTCTTTGAACTAGATTTGGCCCTGCTTTTGATTATTTCAGATTAACAAACAATTCCGTCGAACTGACAGTAACTGCCCAGAGTTGGCACAGACCCTGCAGGTCAGGGGATGCCCCCCCCACCCAGACTGCCCCTGTAGATGCCAGCCACCACTGCCCCACACTGCTGCCTGGACAACTGCAAATTCAGGGCTTCACTCGACCCCTTCCTCAGGTTTGAGAATTTGCTATAATGACTTGCAGAGCTCAAGAAAGCACTTTACTTACTGCCGCCAATTTCTTATAAAGGATACAACTCGGGGACCGCCAAACAGAAGGGATGCAGGAATCGAGGTAGGGGCACACCACCCTCCTGGCATCTCGATGTCACCAGCCCAGATGCTCTCTGAGCTCCTGAACCCCACTGTTTTGGGGTTTTACGGAGGTTTCCTTATGTAGGCATGATTGATCTAATCGTTGGCCACGCAATCTCCAGCACCTCTCCCCTCCCTGGAGGTTGGGGAGAGAGAGCTGGACATTCTAACGCTCTAATTACATGCTTGGTCTTCTGGTGAGCAACCACTCTGGAGCTGTCTGTCCCAATGTGTCACCTAATCAGTATAAGCTCAGGTATGGTTAATGGGGGCTTGTTATGTACAGCAAAGGCTCCTGTCACTCAGGAAGTTCCAAGGGCCTTAGGAACACCGTGCCAACAACCAGGGACAAAGACCAGATACATGTATTTCTTATTGTACCACAGAGAGTAAGAGTGTGGGTCATTGCTCAAACACTATAGACTCATTTTTGTGAAAATCCGGTAGATCTTTATTTTTTATTTATTTATTTATTTTTTGAGACAGAGTCTCACTTTGTTGCCCAGCTAGAGTGCCATGGCATCAGCCTAGCTCACAGCAACCTCAGACTCCTGGGCTCAAGCAATCCTGCTGCCTCAGCCTCCCAAGTAGCTGGGACTACAGGCATGCACCACCATGCCTGGCTAATTTTTTCTATGTATTTTTTCAATTAATTTCTTTCTATTTTTAATAGAGACAGGGGTCTTACTCTTCCTCAGGCTTTTTTTGAACTCCTGACCTTGAGCGATCCACCCGAGTTGGCCTCCCAGAATGCTAGGATTACAGGCGTGAGCCACCGCGCCTGGCCTGGTAGATCTTGAATGAAGGTTTCTCTGTTTACTGCATGCCTTAGGACAATTTCTAGAGACTATAAGTGATTGTTTCTTTCTTTAAAAAGAAAAAACCTTGGCCAGTTAAAGTGTAGCTTTGCTGGGGAGAGGCCAGTCAGCCTTATGATGCCATTCCAGAGTCCCCACCCCGTGCCGTCGCATTCAGGTCGCAGATGTTTCCTGAGCCCCACCGTGTGCCAGCCTTCATCCTAGGCTCTATGGAAGCAGCAAGGAGCAAGGCAGATGGGGTCCTTGTGGCTCCTAGTGGCACGGGTAGTATTAGATCACATACACATGCACATGTACACACATACATTCTGCATGAATCCCTGTCACATCACCATGTCACATGCTCCATAGAGGTAGGTGAGGCATCAGGGCATGTTTAATGGTGCCTGGCCTCCTGGACTCCCTGGAGCCTAGATGTCCTTCCCTCCAGATCCTCCCAGAGGTGGCAGTGACCAGGCCACCTGCCTTGGTCCTGGGCTGATGCTGACTCCTCTGAGAAGACCCAGCCTCGAGACAGGTTGCTGATGTGTGGTGTGGCAGCCCCAGCAACTTGGGGCCCATCAGTGTCAGTCCCCAAAGGAGGACACAGCAGGCAGTTGGATAAGCAGCAAGGTGTCCCTGGGGCAGGTGGTGGTGGCCTATGGTCCCAGAATAGGGAGCATTGGAAGAATCTCCAAGCAAACCCCAGAAGGTACTATCCTCCAAACTGCAGTGTCCCCTTCCCTGCCCCCAGCACTTGGTAGGCTGGCCTAGAAGTCCAGCTGGTCACTCTTGCCACGTGACTGCAGCCATCCTGGTGCTGACAAAGGAGAGGCTCACAGGTCTCAAAGCTGATCCCTCTGTGTGCTCAGGAAAATAGGCGTGACTGGCTGAGACCAGAGCTGGGGAGCTGCCAGCAAGACACCTGTTGCGCCCCCTCCCCTTGGGTGCTGTGACCCAGGCCAAAGCTACAGCATGGGCCTTGGTGTGCCCGGGGTGAGGTTGGGCAGATGGACCACTTCCATTAAGCTTTGTGGAAAGCCAAACCAGCCTCTGGACAAGGACAGCCCAGGCCCCCAGCATGAGAGCCTCCAACATAAAACTTCCATTTTTTCCCATGATGTCCCCCCCCAGCCCACTGTAGGTGAAACTGAATGGTCTTGCTATGTAACTGCATCACCAAAGGATTACAAGAGGGTCTCAGAGGCCTCAGGGGAGGCATTCCCTGGGCTGGGGTCCAGGTGACTGGCTTCTTCTGGTCCTGGAGGGCCATGAGGAGGCCCACCCCTTTCTCCTCCCTGGGCCTGCTTCTAGAGGTCAGCACAAAGGGGCAGGACGGTGATTTCTAGGGTCCTGGCCCGCTCTCACATTTCCCATATCACTCCTTTCCCCCCATAAGAGTGCCCTGAGAGCCTGGTATCCCAGTCTGAGATCCCACTGCCCGGGACAGGGGAGGCACCTAGGAGGGGAGGCGCCAGCAGGAAGAGGGCAGGGCCCCTTTAAGCCCAGCCTCACTTGCTCAGTCTGTTGCTATGTATGGTTCCAACTTCCTTAGCAACCACCAGCCTCTTAAAGGGGCCCTGGAAGCAGTGGTTGCCTTCAGCCATGGCTCCCAAAAAGAAGGCAAGCAAGGGGGGCAAGGAGCCTGAGGTCAAGAAGAAGGGGGGCAAGAAGGAGGGCGGCATGACCCTGAAGCCTATGGAGATGCCTCTGGAGGAGGAGACGCGGGAGTTCTACCACATCCAGATCCGAGACCTGGAAGACCGGCTGGCCCGGTGGGTGGGCCGGTGGGCAGGAGGCTGGTGCTCCCGTCAGAGGCCCCACTCTGAGGTGGCCACTGTGCAGGTTTGGCCTGGGGCTCTAGACCTGTGTCCTGGCCTCCCATGGATGTCCAGCCCCACCCCCACCCCAGCCTCAGTTTCCTCATTAGGAACCATTGGGAGGCTTTGAGATATTGATGGCAGCTGGATTTCCCCACCCCTTCTCAGAGCCCAGAGCCTTGGGCCCACCCCAGGCAAGCCCCACTCCCGGCCTTCCCTACTCCTGCCGGTGGATCACGCACTTTGTACAAGGGTAGAGCTTTATCAGTGGGATGAGTTATAAGGGCAGCCCTTGGCAGGCAGATGGACCCTGGGACCCTCCACCCCCTGGAAGTGCCTCTCTGACTTACCTAGCTGCGGAGCCCAGTTGTTTCTCTGTGTTGGGCCTCAGTTTCCACAAATGTAAATGAGGAAGGTTGATCCCCCTCCGCGACTGTGGCATTCTATCCTAGGGCCTGTTTTGTAGTGATGTGGGTGGTGGCGGGGAGTGATCCTTACCCTTCATTAGAGACTTGTTCACTTGCTCATCCTTTTTCTCATTTTATAACTAGTTTCAGGCCATGTATGGTGGCTCACACCTATAATCCTAGCATTTTGGGAGGCCAAGGCAGGAAGATGGCTTGAGGCCAAGAGTTCAAGACCAGCCTGAGCAACATAGCAAGACTCCATCTCTACCAAAAAAAACCCAAACAATTAGCTGGGTGTGGTGCCACTTGTAGTCCCAGCTACTTGCGAGGCTGAGGCAGGTGGATCTCTTGAGCCCAAGAGTTTGAGGTTGCAGTGAGCTGTGATGATGCCACTAGACTCTAGCCTGGGTGACAGATTGAGACCCTGTCTCTAAAAACAAACAAACAACAGTTTCCTCCCAGCTCTGAGGTGCCAGCCCCAGTCTTGAGGTGACCCTTAACAAGACAAAGCACTAGGCAGCATCTCTTCCCCAAACTACCGATGCTGCAGATAATCCCAGCTAATGCTGAGTCCTTCTTGGGCACCAGGCAGGCCCTGTTCTGGTGCTCACCACATCCCCTTCACAATCCCATGAGAGGTCCTGACATCATCATCCTCACACAGATGAGGGTACTGAGGCTCAGAGAGGGGAACTCACCCCCAGAAAGAAGAGGCACCACGGAGGGAGCCCTGTCCTCCCTGACCCCCTATGCCAGGCTGCTTCCTTGATCCACAAAAGAGGTCGTTCATCCCCACACCCCTGAAGTGCCCTGTGTACAAAGCCATCCAAGAGATGTTGGTTGCAGAGATTATGAAGTAAAGCAACTTTCCAGGCCAGGCGCGGTGGCTCACACCTGTAACCCTAGCTCTCGGGGAGGCCGAGGCAGGAGGATCGCTCAAGGTCAGGAGTTCGAAACCAGCTTGAGCAAGAGCAAGACCCCATCTCTACTATAAATAGAAAGAAATTAATTAGCCAACTAAAAATATATAGAAAAAAATTAGCCGGGCATGGTGGTGCATGCCTGTAGTCCCAGCTACTCAGGAGGCTGAGGCAGGAGGATTGCTTGAGCTCAGGAGGTTGAGGTTGCTGTGAGCTAGGCTGACACCATGGCACTCTAGCCTGGGCAACACAGTGAGACTGTTTCAAAAAAGAAAAAAAAAATCTTTCCAAATAACATCAATTATTCCATTGGAACCAGTCAATCGGGTATGTGACGCTGCTTAAAATTAAACAAACTTCCCTTAAAATTCAGACTTCCCTTGCGCCGAGACATCAGGTGGGATGTATTTAGGAAACATGCATTTAGCAGTTACTGGGCACATGCTATTTGCCAGGCCTCTACCAGGCCTTGGGAATACAGAGGTGGGGGCAGGTGCATATTATCAGGTCTCTACTTCCCAGTGGGTCTAGGGCCATCCTATAGGAGTGCTCCAAGGAGAAGGCCACAAACATTGCTCAGGACCACAAGGGTCCACTGAGGAGGCAACACGGGGGCCGCTCAATGGACAAAGGCAGGGGAGATGACAAATGCAAACACTTGGGGTTGGGGTCCTAGCACCTGTGCAGGTGCTAGGGAGGGGTGCAGGGCTGGCCAACTGCAACAGCAGGGATTGTGGCTAAGAGCCTTGGTTTTAGAGTCAGATTGATTCAGGTTCAATCTTTGCCATTGACTAAAGAAACTGGGAGTTTCTTTATCCCTCTGAACCTCAGGAAACTCTCAGTTTCCTCCTCTGTAAGTGGGGGCGATCCTGTCATAGTGTCACAGAACCCACGTTCACATGGGCTGTTGTGAAGATTCAGCAAATGCACACTGCACACCTGCTGTGTACCAGGCACAGGTGTTGGGGACATACCTGTGAACATAGCAAAGGCTCTGGCCTCGTGGAGCTTACATTCTAGTGATGTAATGAACATAAAAAGCTGGGCACAGGCATACCATCACGGGGCACAGTGGGAGACAAGGCTGGATTCAGAACACGAGGAACTTCACATGGCCCTTTATGGCTGGTGGTGCGGGGGTGCCCGGGAGAGTGGGCCCAGCCTCACCAGAGGCTGCGCTTGCCTGGCCCGAACCCGGACTGCTGCCCACCCCTGCCCCAGGTACCAGCGGAAGTGGGATGAGCTGGCTGTGCAGGAGAAGATGTTTCGCCAGGAGTTTGACCAGCTGGCCAACAACAAGAAGGAGATCGTGGCCTTCCTCAAGCGCACGCTCAACCAGCGGGTGGACGAGATCACAGACCTCAACGAGCAGCTCCAAAGCCTGCAGCTGGCCAAGGAATTGGAAAAGGACGCCTTCGAGGCACAGCTAGCCCAGGTGCGCCATGAGTTCCAGGAGACCAAGGACCAGCTCACCACGGAGAACATCGCCCTTGGTGAGGAGGGGACTGGGCTACAAGCCTACAGGGGCACAGGGTCTGGGCCCAAACCCCAGGTCTACTGCTGACTGTACCTGTGGCTTTGGGCAAGCATGTCTCTGTGACCCTGCTTTGCCACCTGTGCAAGTGGGATAACATGGCTACCTTAAGTAGCAACAGCAATGTGCGTCTTGGCACACATTATCTTTCTTAATTGTCCCAGCAATCCTGCAAGGCAGGAAACATCACCACTGCCCCAGCTATAGATGAGGATGCACCTTGAAAAAAAAGGTGAAGTGTCTTGCCCAAGGTCACCCAGCTGACAGGGGCTTGTTGAGGCTCAAACGATAGCATGAGCACCCAGCCTAGAAGAGGTATACAAATGCAGGTATTGTTGTCATTGTTCCTTTGTGAGAGGGGAGGGGAGGAGAGTAGTGAGGGAAGCTGCTTAAAGGAGGTGGAACTTGAGCAAAGCTTTGTAAGGTTCATGGAGGGGAGGACAAAGGACATCTCAGACAAAGGCAATAAAGGTGGCCAGGACCGGGCATGGCATGAGCAGGGACAGCAGACCAACCCGGCAGGATCACGAAGTGCAGGGAGGGCAGAGACCTGGGTGCCTCGCTGCCCCCGCCTGGCCCTGCCCTCCAAGGCTGCCCCTCATCATCCTTGTGCCCTGTGGTGGCCAGCGGGGAAGCTGGCAGCCCTGGAGGAGTTCCGGCTGCAGAAGGAGGAGCTCATGGACAGGTTCATGTTGCTGGAAGACCAGCTGCGGAACCAGGAGAGTGAATACAGGGACTATGTGTACAGCCTGGAGAAGAAGTCGGTGCTGGACAAGGACAGGTGGGCAGATGGGGCATGCCCTCTGTGGCCTTTGCAGCCTCATGGCCAGGGCCACACACATCCCAGGCTTCAGGTCTTAGCCTTCCTCAGCTTCCAACTGGGGGAACTGGACTGGGTCACTGACTCTGGGCCCTGCTGTCTTTGTGGCAATTTGTGGAGGGGAGAATGAGGACAGCCCCAGGCTCTGGTCCTCATGCTAGCATTGGAGACTCCTGGACTTCCTTTTGCCATATTTGGTGGTTTAAATTGTATTTATGTAATAGGTAATTAAAATGGTTCAAATTCCAAAGGTGTAGAGGGTCTACAGGGAAGAGTTCCCTACCCATGGCCCCATTCCTTTGGAGGGGAGAGCACAGAGGTTTTTAATGGCCCTAGGCACTCTGGGGACCCCATGAGGGGTGCCCAGGGCTTGTGCCCACCCTGTCTGACCCCCTTGTACCCCACCTTCTTAACCAGACTCAGGAAAGAGATTATTCAGCGTGTGAATCTGGTGGCCACGGAGTTCCGCAAGGTCGCCACTAACCAGATGTGGGATACGACGAAGCGGGCCATCCTGGAGAACAGCAGCGTGACCCTGCAGCTAGCCAAGATGTCCCGGCAAGGCGTGCAGCTGATGCAGGAGAATGAGCAGCTCAAGGGCAGCCAGGAGGAGCTGTGCAAACAGCTGGAGCTGCTGGAGAACACCCAGAAGGTCATGGCCAGGGACAGAAGGGGCCACCAGAAGGTGCGCCTGCAAGCCCTGTCATAGGGCGTTTGGCCCATATGGCAGGAGGAAACCCTGAGCACTCTGCAGGGGTAGAGCCATGTAATGAGGGAGGGAAGCTGCGGAGGTGGGGGTGGGGGACACCACTTGAGGGAACTCCAGGGTGCTGGGCCAGCTCTGGGTTTACTTTATTTGCTTTAAAGCAGAGCCACTCTCAGAGCTGGGGACTCCGCTCAGCTCTGCTCGTGGCCACCTGCTGCACCCACAGATCATCCTCATGCTGACCGAGAAGTGCCAGGAGCAGCAGCAGAGCACTGAGGAGGCCAAGCAGCTGCGCCTGCTGCTGAGCCACCTGGAGCAGAGCTTCCTGGAGCTGCAGACCGACAGCCAGGCCACGAGGTGTGCCCAGGAGGGCCTGGGTGGGTGGGAGCAGGTGGAGGCGATGCTCAAGCCCTTTTTGGCCGCATGACCCTGGGCCAGTGACTTCCCTTCTCTAGAGAGGCCTGTCAGACAGACTGAGGTCTGGGGCTGGATGGTCACCCTGTGGGCTGGAGAGAAATGTCAGGGCCCATGGCCCCAGGTGGCACCAGCCCCAGCCCAGGGAGGGCAGAGGCTGTTAACTCATCCTGAGCCTGGGCCCAGGAGCCAAAGAGACCAGCTGAACCTGCAGCTGGAGCAGCAGCAGGCTGAGGCACAGCAGCTGCAGCAGGAGCTGGCCGAAGAGCAGAGGGTTCGGGCCAGCCTGGAAAAGGCCCTGAACCAGGCCACCTCCATCCTCCAGAACATTCTGCACGTAAGAAGGAAGCATGGGAAGCTGGGAGGGGAACAGGCCTGGGACAGAAGCTACCTGCAAAGAACAGGCCTGGAAGGGGCTGGCTCGGGCCAGCTCATAGGCACCTCTTGCCCCTGAGACACTCCTGGCAAGTCTGTCCTTCTCTGATTTGGGACTTCAAAGATCCCTCCAAGGTCTCAAAGGAGCTAGAGTCCTTCTCTGAGGCTCTAGAAGGCCTCAAGCCTCGCTCAGTCTTCCCAACAGGAGAATGGGTAGCCCACCACAGCCAAGAACACCTGGGGGAAATGGGCATGGGGCTGGAGATTCCCAGGGGAGGGCAGCCATTGGGGCCCTTGTGGACCTGATACCCCTACCCCACCAGCAGATGCAAGCGGAAGAAGAGGAGGGCGACCTCGATGTGATATTCCAGCTGCACTGCAAAGATATGCTGCAGCAACTGCTGGCCGTGCTCAGCTCTGCCCTGAAACTCCCCATGGCTGTGCGTCCCCGCCAGGAGTCCCAGCCCCAAGGCCCGTCCAAGGAAGGGTGAGTGGGAGAGGAGGCGGCATGGGGAGCAGGGCAAGGGGACGCAGCCATGGGACCCATCCAGGGACTGCTCAGCTGATCCTGGGCCAGAAACCTGGCTCTCCCACGTTTCTCTGCACCTTGCCTCCTCATCTGTGAAATGGAGGTGATGCCCCCCCCCCTCCACTTTCCAACAGCCGGCCCAATATCCAGCCGCCCAAGGTCAGGTCTCTGCTGCAGCAGCTTTCCAGCACCGCAATGTACCAGCCCGGGGATCTAGGCCTGGTGCCTTACCAGGGCCACGTCCCACCTAACCCCCAGGACCTCAGGCTGCTCTCACATACCACCCGCATGAGGACCTTCCGGGCACACAGCACCCCTGAGGTGAGGGTTCCAGGAGCCCCAGGGACAGTAAGATGGCTGCCAGCTCTGGGTACAAAGTGGGGCTCTGCCAGGCAGTAGCCGTGTTGTCTTGGGGATGTGGCCAGACCTCTCTGAGCCTCCCCATCTGTAAAATGGGCTGAAGAAAGCTGTGGCCAGGCCTCAGAGGGCTAAGGCATGCCTTCGCATCACCTGGGGGAGGGGTGGCTGTTGTCCCTTCCCCCACTGGCAGAGGAAGGGTGGGCTCCCCCTCAATAGGTCTCAGCTTCCAAGACGGCATCTTTACTCTTACAGATCTATGCCTCCAGTTCTCTAAAAAAGCTCAAAAAGTTTAGTCTTCCTGATGTTCTCCTACACCCCAAGTAGGACACAGAGAGAAGACCGACCCCATACTCCAGCAACGGACCGTTCTAGCCACAGTCCCCCCCTTTAATCTGTAGGCAGCCCAGAGCAGCCCAGAGAACAGTGTATAAATAATGGATACCAAGGTTGGCGTGGCAGCTCTATGGCCATGGCCAGGTCTGTGGGCACTGCGGTCAGGCAGGCAGCCATGGATACTAGTGTCAGGGGCTGACACCTGCTGAGGTCCCCTGGCTTCGCTCGCGGATGTGGTCCAGGAGCAGGTCGGTGGCTCGATCCAGCAACAGAGGCAGCAGCTCCTGCTCCGAGGGGGAGAAGCAGCCCAGCACGTAGGCCTGTACTGCCTCAGGGTTCGTTGGGCGCCCGATGCCCACCCGCAGCCTCGGCATTGCCTGTGGGGGAGCCAGAGGGGCCCAGGGAACTTTGGTGAGGTGTGCAGGGGGACCCATGCTGGCCCACCCGACCCAGTGCAGGACAGAGGGGCAGACTCACACTGGAGTTGAGGCAGCTAATGCAGGAACGGACTCCATTGTGGCCCCTTCAAGGGATACAGGAGGGGCAGTTAGTACCTCCCTGGGTTAGCACCCTTCCACCCCTCCCTGCCCAGTTAGAGCAGCCCATCGCTTGCAGAGACTGGGTCCCCAGCCCTACTCCACCCCAGCTGGAAGGCCAGCATCCCCAGCCAACCCTGACCAGCTCAGGGCCTCACCTGGCACTGCCCCCCAGCTTCAGAGCCAGTTTCCCCAGAGGCTTGTCCAGCTCATCGTGCACCAGGTAGACCTCCTCTGCAGTCAGCCCAAACATCTCCGCTTGGCACAGGGAAACGGTGGCTCTGGTTACTGCTGCTCTGCCCAGAAGGGCATTGTCCCAACTCCCATAGGAGGGGCCACAATTAACCCCCATTCACATGTAAAGAAACAGGCCCCTACAAGCACCCATGGCCATGCAGCAATTGGAGCTCAACATGGCCTTGGACGTGCGTGAGCCAGGGGATCTGGCACAACCAGAGTCCCCCCTCTCTGGCCCAGACACCCTCCCAGTCAGCCCCGCCCCTGACATCCTCAACTCACCGGCCCGGGCCACGCTGCGCCCGTTGGCGTTCATGAGCCGCCGCGGCCGGAGCAGGACCAGCTGGGCATCCCCGAGTGGGGCCAGGGCGAGGTCGGCGGCACAGCGCCGGTCGCGCGCCCAACTCTCCGCCACACCTAGCCGCCGCGCCAGCTGCCCCAGCACCGCCATGCCCACGCTGTGTCGCGTGCCGGGCAGTCCGGGGTTCCCCAGGCCAGCCACCTGCGGGCAGCACCACGGAAACTGAGGCCTGACAACTCACGCCACCCCGGATCGCACAACGTTCCCTGGGACCCAAAGCAGAGGGTGAGAGAGGCAGACCAGGGCTGGGTAGGTAAGGGGCGCGAAGAAAGGGCCCAGAAACCTCTGGGGACTCCAGTAGGCTGGGCAGGCAGGGCCCCCCGGTGCAGCAGCAGAGTTCCCGAAGTTTGGAGCCCCTCTAGTATTGGACCCATTTTCTAGATAAGAAAACTGGCATAAGGAATTTGGGGGACTTCGGCCGGGACACAGTGGCAGAATTGGAGCTAAGGCCCGGGAGCCCCTATGTCGCCGTCCCACTCCACTCACCAGCCACCGCTTCCCCGGGGGCCGAGGCTCCAAAACGCACCGGCTCATAGCCGGTCTCCGCCACAGCCCAGAGCGCAAGAGGCCGGGCGGCGACATGCTGCCCCTATTCACGGCCCGGACCCCGCCCCCTGGCGTCATCCAGGCCGCGGCCAATCGCGTCGCTAACTGTCCAGGGGCGGCCGCCAGCGTCCAATCCGAGCCGGCAGCGCGGCCGCCATGCTCCTGAGGGGCGGAAGCGACGGGGCGGTGGCTGTGTGTGGGCGCTCCCGCGCATTACGCGGCGGGGCGTCACCGCGTTCCTGTGGGGTTTGTGTGGAACTCTAGGAGCCTTTGCCTAACCTTCGGCTGGGAGAGGGGGGCTTCGTTGTGCCCCCCGCTATGGCCCTGCCTCGCGGCGGAAACCAGCCAGTCCTTTCCCCGCTGCAGGCCTCCACCTCCCCAGCTAATAAAAGTTTCCTGACTTCCTTCCGGCTCCCGCAGCCCGGGATGCGGGGCGTGGCCAAAGGGGCGGAGCCTGTGGGCGTCCTGGAGACGGTGCCTAGCAACGTCAGGACCAGAGCTGCGAGGGCTTGCGGGCGGCGAGTGTGTTGGCGCCAGGGGCTTCCTGGAAGGGCCTCATGGCGGACTCCGACGAGGTGCGGGCTGGGGAGGAGGCCAGCGCAAGGCCAAAGGGCCAGGGTGGAGAGACCAGGCTGCGTTCCCAGGAAGGCTTGAAGTCGGGAGGGGCCGGGGCAGTGGTGCAATTCAGGAAGGCCCTGACTGCCCTGCCAAGACCGGAGGGCTTGGGACCTGTGGCCGGCCGGGAGGTCGGAGGGTGGCCGGAGCTGGAGGTAGAGATGGCCGTGGCCCAGACAAGAAAACGAGGGAAGAGGAGGAATGAGAAATTTTGAGGAAGTGGAAGATATAGGATTTGAGGGTTCACGGAGGTGTCAAAGCCTGGGCAGACGTCAGGGGAGGTGCTTAGTGGCCTGCTGGGTGTGAGGGTCCCACAGGATATCCGAGGGGCTGCAGGATCCCCGAGGCTGGCGACTTGAGAGAGGGCCTGAGCTGGAGGCATTAGAGCCTTGGGTGTCGGTAGATGGAGGTGGGAGCTGGGAAGGCCCTGGAGGAGAGCAGAGGGTGGTGTGAGCTGAGGACCCTGAACCCTGACCTTGACAGTAGGAGGGGGAGAGAGGCAAGACTGGAGAGAGATGGGTCAGAACAATGCTAAGAGGAAGGGGGCTGGGAGTGCTGCACCCCCCCCCCAGACTGTGTGTGCCTCATTCCTCCCCTCCTCCACCCCATGGAACCCTGGGGAGAGTGTGTGGGCTGCGAGGGCCGCTTCTGAGGCTGCCCCAGCTGCTGTCCTTCGGTTCTAGGATTCTCTCAAGGTTGACCAGTCTTCCTCAGAGAACATCCCAAAGCCATGGGTGATTCCAGTGCCAAAGGGGACCGTGGAGCGCATCTTTGGGACCAGCCAGGTGTTCCACAGCGTCAGTGGTGTAAAAGAAAAGGCCAAAGGGTCAACAGTGCCCCTCAAAGTCAGGGAGTAGTAAGTGACTACCTTGCCCTGGGGTCCCAGGTTTCTGCCCTACACAGCCACTAACAGGCTGTGCAACCTTGAGCCAGTTACTCTTTCTCTGGTCCTCAGTGAACTTAACTTTGTCATGGGGCTCTTCCACCTCATCAGATAAAAGGCCGATGGCCTTTTATCTGATGGATGGACTCTAAGAACACCAGCCTGCCCTCCCTGGTCTCTGTCTCTCCTTCCAACTCCCCTTCTTCCCCCTACCCTTAGCCCCTACCCCAGCCATATCCCCTGAGCTGATCCAAAGTCAGGGCCAGCCCCTCTACCTGTACCCCCCATCCCCACAGCTACCACCAAGGCCATCTGTGCTTGGAAGAAGAGGACTGGGAGATGGCCGTGCTATTCTTCTCTCGTGCCCTCCACCTGGACCCCCATCTGGTGAGGGGTGAGGCTGGGTGGGCACAGTCAGTTGCTGGCACACACTTTCCCCCTCCCCGCCTGGGCCTCTCCTCTCTGGGCCACCCAGAGGAACTTCCTACCTCCTGGGACCTGGGTGACAAGCCTCAAGAAAGCAGAGTCCTCCCCCTTATTCTTAGGGGTACCTGATGGGGAGGGGACAGCAGCCATGTCTCTTCACCCTCAGGTAGACTTCTATGCCCTGCGGGCAGAGGCCTACATCCAGCTCTGCGACTTCTCCTCGGCTGCCCAGAACCTGCGAAAGGCCCACTCATCCCAACCAGAGAACACTAAGTACCTGAAGCGGCTCACCTTTGTGCTTTACCTGCAGGTGCCTAGGGCACCCCCAGCCCACGCAAGGCAGCCACCTCTCTTTCCAGCTATGGAGGGTTTCTTTGCTCCTCAGACCAGCTCTGTCTCCCTGGTGTCTCCTTGTCCCTGTGTCTGTGTCCCCACCTACTGCTCCTTTCACCTTCCAGCGTGGTTTACTGCCAAGGAGAGTTGGTCAAATTTTACAGCATTGGCCAACTGAACTTTCTGCAATAATGACAGTGATCTTCTCTGCACTGCCCATCATGGTAGCCATGAGCCACATGGAACTGTTGAGCCTTCAAAGTATGGCAGGTGTGACTGAAGAACCGAATTTTACCTTTTATTTAATTTTAATTCATTTGAATTTTTATACCCAAACAAAGTTAGTAGCTATCGTCTTCAATGGCGCAGGTCAAGAGTCTAGGGGCTCTGAGCACTAAAAAGGTAATAATGAGCCTTATTTGTAATTGAAAATAAAAACAATATTAAACCATAAAACACCAACAAAGTCCTGATTTTTTTCTATTTTGGCAGCTTTGATGACTTTTTCTATGTCAAAAATTATTTAATTCTTAAAAAGAGACATTCAGGACACCCAAACTATGTGCTTAATCTGTCTTTTGGGGAACTGTGTCCTGCACTGCCATTTTCTGTGTGCCTGTGTGGAAGTCATTTCACCTCTCTGAGCCTCTCAGCTCCTTCATCCAAAAGGGTGATGCTTGCGAGTGCCAATGAGATAACAAGTTCGGCTTCTTGGCAAGGGCCGGGCACCCAGAGCCCTGGTCCAGGCTGTAGCCTGCTTGTTCTCATCCGCATTCCAGGTTTCCTCTGTTTCTCTCTATTCCAGGATTTCTCTGTATCGCTGTCTCTCCCCAGTTCTGTATCCCTCCATCTCTGTCTCTCCAAGTCTCTTCCAGATCTAGAAAGCTCTGTCCCTATTTCTCGTCTCTCTCCCCTTCTGCCCCAGAGGTGGTTGCCTCTGGTGGTGGGCCAGTGTCGCAGGCAGAGTTGACTGTCCCCTTTGTCCCCAGGGCCAATGTCTGTTTGAACAGTGTGCCTTCCTGGACGCCCTGACCGTCTTCTCGCAAGCTTCCGAGCTCCAGCCTGAGAAATCCTGTTTCCGATACCGATGGTGAGCAACCTGCCAGCCCTCCCTCCCACAGCCCCATCCTGCCCTCCCACCCAGGAGACAGCACCCTCTGTCCCCCCTTCAGCATGGCCTGTCTCCTGGCCCTCAAACGGCATCAGGACTGCCTCATACTCGCCACCAAGGAGGTGAGGCACGGCACCACCAACGCTGATGTCTTCATCCTCCGGGCCAGACTCTACAACTTCCTCCAGAAGGTAGAGCAGGGAGGGCTGGGCAGGTGCGTGGTGCGCCCCCTAGCCAGGGAGCCCCCAGCATGCCCAAAATTACAGGAGGAGGAAGGCTGTCAGTGTGGAGGGGCGCTGTCTTCCCTGGGCAGCCTCCCAGCCGGCCCTGACTTCTCTGCTGCCCTGTTGGGTAGTTGTCCCACCATTGCTGGGCCTTGGCTCCATGCCAGGCCTGTCCTGAGCCCCATGGAAACCACAAGATGAAAGACCCATGTCATCCCTGCTCACATGGAGCTTACGGCCCAGGGGAGACATCCCTGAGCAGATAATGCGTGAAGCACCTTCGGAAGGCACCCAGGGCACCATGGGATAAGGCAGCCCTTCCTCCACCCTCCTCCTCCCTTCCCTCCTTGAGGGCTGGGGAAGGATCCAGAACAATGCCTGGTGTCCTGGCTTGGCCTGGGTGATGGGGAGTTGGGAAATTCAGGACAGGGAGGAACAGGTAGGCAGAATTGGGTGCATTCACCTCCTTTCCCCAGGTGGGGACATCCTGGGGGCGGCTAGAAATGTGAGCCTGCAATTCTGGAGGGAGCAGTGCCGCCCGCCAGGAGTGGCTCCCGGGTGCAGTCCACCCAGGGACTTCTCCCTGTGCCGAGGGGCTGGGCTTCAGTGTCTCACAAGTGATTCAATGGCAGAAGACTAGTAATTACTGATACTTATTGTTGGCTGTGCGATTTTGCTGCGCCTGCCACCTCAGCCTCTGCTGTGCATAGTTTATCTCTGAGGCACACAGTAACCTTTGAGGTGGATACCACCCGTTGTCCTCTTTTCACAGAGGAAGAACCAGCCCACAGTGACTTGCCCCAGGTCAGGCAGCCAGTTCTCAGTGATGCTGTCCAGAGCCCTGCTCCTGGCTTCTGCCATTTCCTTCCTGATTTCCACTCACACCTGCTGTCCACACTGTTTGTCCTGTTCACCCTCCAACCAATCACCCTACAGGAAACAGGGTGCTTGCTAAAACTGTTTGTTGACTGACTGACAGACCTGTACACCCAGTGGAAGGCATTTGCCGGGGAATGTTTTTTGCTCATACTCAGACCTGAATCTGTCCTTGGTCAGAGTTTTCTTGGACTTAAAAGTCAGATAGTGAGAGACGGAATGCAGAAGGGGATAGGGAGGACACAGCAGTCACAGCCAGGAGGTCACCCCCCACTCCACCTCGAATGAGCCCCACAGGAATCCTGCAAAGAGGTGGCATTGGCGGAAACCATGGAGGCTGACCTGGCTCACCTGAGGTCCCACCTGGAAAGGGACCAGCAGGGATGGGGCCTGAGAGGGATTTCCCCACAGTGCTCCCTGTCCCTTCAAGAGGCAGAAAAGGAGGGACGGGGGCACCGAGGAGGGATGGCACGATGCCAGCCTACCCACAGAAAAGCCCCTACGGGCCTGGAGGCCTACCCCTCCTCCCTCCTACTGGGCAGGGCACGGCCAGCTCGTCTGTGCCTCTGAGGCCACCCTGCCCCTGCAGCCCAGCTTCTGCTACCGGGACCTGCACAGAGCCTTGCTGCTGGAACCCGAGCACCCGCAGGCCAGGGCACTGCTCGAGAAGATGGTGAAGCAGGCCCAGCAGGCGCGCCTGGACGCCGGCATCCTGGCTGTGCAGGGGAAACTGCATCACGCACTGCAGCGCATCAACTGCGCCATTGAGAACAACCCTCTGGATCCCAGCCTCTTCCTCTTCCGGTACTGGGTCGGGAGGTGCTGGCCCAGGCCTGCCCCGCCACAGACTTGCTGTGTGGTCTAAGGAGTGTCCCTGACCCTCTCCAGGCCTCAGTTTCTTCATTTAGCCTCTAATAATCTTTCCCTGCTTCCCATCGGGGTCAAGGTGTCACAGAGGTGGTCTCTGTTACGGCTCCCAGAAGAGGGGCAGGCGGCAGCTTCCCAGTTATCCCAGGAATCCTAGAACCCCAGGCCTCCCAGCAGTTCATGCTGGGAGCATCGGCCCGCTCGGTGGATGAGACTTGGGTTTGAATCCAGTCTCCCAAGAACTTACCATGTGATTTGGGGCCAATTAACCTCTCTGAGCCTGGGTTTTCTCATCTAAACAGTGGGGGTAACTTGTCTGTCTTGCATACAAAAAGGCCTTCACATGAAGGCTAGCATACACCTGGCTCCCAAAAAGAAAGAGGGAAGCTATTTTTGGGGAAAATAAAATAACCGGTGACTAGCAGGTTATCCGAATAGCGATCCAGAGCCAGCCCCACGGGACAAACCCAGTGCATGGGGCCAGGGTTGCCACCACCTCCACAGGGCGGAGGCCCAGAGCAGCAGTGACCAGCGCAGCCACTTGCCAGCCAGTGGGGGTGCACTGGCCCTCACGTCCCTCCCTGCTGCCTGCCATGCCCTCCCCCAGGGGCATCGTGTACCGCCGGCTCCAGGAGTTTGACCGGGCGGTGGAGGACTTCCTGAAGGCTCTGGACATGCTGAAGGACGGCCAGGAGGACACCGTGCAGCAGGCGCAGCGCCAGCTGCTGCTGACCTACAACGACTTCGCCGTTCACTGCTACATGCACGGCGCCTTCCAGGAGGGCGTGCTGCTGCTGAACAAGGCGCTCCGGGACGAGCAGCAGGAGAAGGGGCTCTACATCAACAGAGGCGGTGCGCAGGGGCCGGGCAGGGTGGACCACTTGCCAGTCCCTAAGGCCTGGGCCTGGCCCTTGAGGCCCCTGAGGGCGAGAGGAAAGAAAGGGGAAACATTTCATAGTTTCCGTCTCCCAGGGCACTCTCCGGGTAACGTTGGGTTACCTAAATTGGCTACCGTCTCTTCAAAATGCCCAGACGCCCAGAAAACTAGGGGGACTGGGACCGCGACCGCCCACGGGCCTTATCAGTTACCAGTGTCAGGCCCCATCCCTAGGCTGGAGCGGGCTGGGCTGGGGCTCCTGGGTACTGGGGAGCCCAGCACTCAGCCCCCGCCCCCGGACCCTAGATTGCTTCTTCCAGCTGGGCCACCTGACCTTCGCCGAGGCGGACTACAATCAGGCGCTGGCGCTGTGCCCGCAGGACGAGGGCGCCAACATGCGCATGGGCCTGCTGCAGGAGAGGATGGGCTTCTGCGAGCAGAAGCTCAGGTGCGCGGGCAGCGGGCCCTAGGGGGCGGGGCCGGCCTGGGGGCGGGGCCGGGCCGGGAGAGGGGCGGGAAGGGGCGGGCCTGGCAGAAAGCCACCTGCTGGGATCCGTGGGGGCAAGATGCTGCTCTCCAGGTTATATTTCCTAAATATCAATTTTATTTCCCTAGTCTTCACTAAAAAGCTTTCCCTTTCCCCCTTGATTATTATGGTAATTATGCTTTTTATAAAAAAATTTAAGTGTTCAGTAATAAATAACTCAGGATGTGAGTTATCATTCTAATACTTACCTCCTGAGCCCTTGCCCCTAAGTTTGGCGAAGATTCCTCCAGACTTTTTCCTACGTATATATTAACAATTATTATTTTACAAAAGTGAGATCATGATAAGTTGTCCTTTGACCAGCTTTTTTTTTTATTTTTACTTTTTATTTTAGCGTATTATGGGGGTACAAGTGTTAAGGTTACGTATATTGCCCATGGCCCCCATCCCCCTGACCAACTTTTGTTTTTCTCTTGCATGATTCATTTGTTATTAACCAGCTCTTGCATGATTCTTGCATGAATCTCTTGCATGATTCATTTGTTATTAACCAGCTTTTTTCCTTTCCATGGCATTACACATAGGACTATCTCATTCTCTTATATTGTTTGTGTAGTATCCCACTCTGTGGAGGCACACCTGTTTTCCTTAAACGATTCTCTACTGATGGATATTTGGACTGTTTTCATTTTCTTATTATAAATAATGCTGTCACGAGCACCCAGGACATGTGCTTTCATGCATTAATAATGGTAAAGCTGTAGGTTAGATTGTTGGGTTAAAGAATATGAACATTTAACATTTTAATAAATAATATCAAATTGTTCTCCAAAAACAATGAGCCAATATAAAATTCCCCCAGGAAAAGAGAACCTTGATTTCCCCAGATCTCCCCAGCACTCAGTGTTAAGACTATTTTTCAATTCTGCTAATCTAATAGGGGAAAAAAAAAGCTCTCTCGCAGACTTTGTACATTTTTTTTTTCTTATTTTTTTATTTTTTATTTTTTTGAGACAGAGTCTCTCGCTTTGTTGCCCAAGCTAGAGTGAGTGCCGTGGTGTCAGCCTAGCTCACAGCAACCTCAAACTCCTGGGCTCAAGCAGTCCTCCTCCCTCAGCCTCCCAAGTAGCTGGGACTACAGGCATGCACCACCATGCCCAGCTAATTTTTTCTATATATATTAGTTGGCCAATTAATTTGTTTCTATTTATAGTAGAGATGGGGTCTCGCTCTTGCTCAGGCTGGTTTCGAACTCCTGACCTTGAGCAATCCGCCAGCCTCGGCCTCCCAGAGTGCTAGGATTACAGGCGTGAGCCACTGCACCCAGCCCCAACTTTGTACATTTAAATGGCCAGTGCAGTTTGGCATCTTTTGTGTATTTATTGGACATTATGGCCTGCCCAAATCTTTTGCCCATTTTGCTATTAAATTGCTCATTAAGGCTGCGTGTAGTGGCTCATGCCTGTAATCCAGGGCACTTTGGAAAGCTGAGGCAAGAGGATCACTTGAGGCTGGGAGTTGGAGGTTGCAGGGAGCCATGATCATACCACTGCACTCCAGCCTGGGTGACAGAGCAAGACTGTCTCTAAAAAAAAAAAAGATTGTTCATTAAAATTTTTTTTTCAGGGGGAAGTTTCTAAGTAAAACAAATTAAAAAATGTTTTTCCTGGGACTGCAAACTAGTTCAGCCTCTGTAGAAAGCAATACGGAGATACCTTAAAGTGATACAAGTCGATCTACCATTTGATCTAGCAATTCTATTACTGGGCATCTACCCAAAAGAACAAAAGTCACTCTATGAAAAAGATACCTGCACTCTAATGTTTATAGCAGCAGAATTCACAATTGCAAAGATGTGGAAACAACCCAAGTGCCCATCAATACATGAGTGGATTAATAAAATGTGGTATATGTATACCATGGAGTACTATTCAGCTATAAGAAACAACAGTGATACAGCACCTCTTGTATTTTCCTGGCTAGAGCTGGAACCCATTCTATTAAGTGAAGTATCCCAAGAATGAAAAAATAAGCACCACATGTACTCACCAGCAAATTGGTATTAACTGATCAACACCTAAGTGGACATATAGGAATAACATTTATCGGGTGTTGGGCCGTGGGGGGGCGGCGGAGGGGATGGGTATATACATACATAATGAATGCACACCAACTGGGGGATGGACACACTTGAAGCTCTGACTCGAGGGAGGCAGGGCAAGGGCAATATATGTAACCTTAACATTTGTACCCCTACAATATGCTGGGAAAAAAATTTTTTTAAGTAAAAAAAAGAAAAGAAAAAAATGTTTTTCAGTTATTAAGAGTTCTTAGCACTCTGGGAGGCCGAGGTGGGCGGATTGCTCGAGATCAGGAGTTCAAAACCAGCCTGAGCAAGATCGAGACCCCATCTCTACTATACACAGAAATTAATTGGCCAACTAATATATATAGAAAAAATTAGCCTAGCATGGTGGCACATGTCTGTAGTCTCAGCTACTTGGGAGGCTGAAGCAGCAAGATTGCTTGAGCCCAGGAGTTTGAGGTTGCTGTGAGCTAGGCTGACGCCATGGCACTCACTGTAGCCTGGGCAACAAAGCAAAAAAAAAAAAAAAAAAAAATGAGTTCCTTACAGGCTAAGAATATTAATTAACTGTCACTGGATATAACAAAATATATTTTCCCTATATATTACTTTTCTTTGGGGTGTTTTTGCTACTCAATAAACTAAAATTTAATCCTAGTCAAATTAATTTTTTCATTTTTGCTGCTGGGTTTATGACATTCTCAGAAAGCCTTTCCCTACCCCGAGATCATAAAAATATTCACTTATGCTGAGGTTTCACACCAGCATCCACGTGTTGGGTCTCTTGAGGGCGTAGCTGGAGGAAACGGAGGGGTGTGATGGGGGGAGCAGAGCCCAGCCTGGTTTTCCATGAACTCCTCAGTGGGGCCCAGAAGCTGCCATTTCCCCCCAGGTGGCCCAGCTCATGGCAGCCTGGGGCCCAATGTGTCTGTCCTGCAGGCAGTTTCAGAAGGCGGAGAACCACTTCTCGGTGGCCATCCAGCACAACCCCCAGAAGGCCCAGTACTACCTGTACCGGGCCAAGAGCCGCCAGATCCTGCAGAACGTTTTCGGGGCCCGCAAGGATGTTGCCACCGTCCTGCTTCTCAACCCCCAGCAACCGAAGGTGGGTGCCTCCGGGGCCAGGAGAGTGGGTTCCAGGCTCTATACCCCTGGCTGCCTGAAGATACTCCCCATCCCCAAAAGAAATCTGGCTTGATAACAATAACAAGAGCTGCTAGTGCCAGAGCATTTACCACATGCCTGGTGGGGTTCTAAACCTCCTCACCACCCCACAAAACAGGTAACATTACCACCCCTCCCCCAATTCACCTACAAGGAGAGTAAGGCTCAGAGCAGGCATTTCGTTTGCCCCACGTCCCGCAGCCCAGTGGTCAAACCCACGTCTGTCTGGCTGCAGAACCCACAGTGGGCTCACTGTCAGTGACAAATCTTGGAATAGTCCCTTTCTTATGGTCTCCTGCTACTTCTGGGTTGAAAAGGTCCAGCCCTTTAAAGACAACCATTTGCAAAGCCTTTCCCTCTTCAGCCCTAGGAGGGCCCAGTGGGACTCTGCAAGGGCAGGGTGGCACTGTGCCATCTGCATCAGCTCTGGGCCACACCTGCCTCTGGTCACTTCCTTTCATGGCAGCTGCTCCCGCTGATGGGCAGCCTCTTCCCCGGCATGTCGGTGGAGGAGGTGCTTGGCAGCCATGTGGCCCAGCTGGCCCGGCTGCAGCTCCAGCGCTTGGTGGAGAGCAGTCAGCAGGTTGGCGGCCCGCAAGCCATCGTGGGGTAAGCCCGGGAGCAGGGGCTGCTGTCTAGTCCCTCGGATGGCAGGGTGGGTCAGGGAGACTGACCACCCGGTGCCTGGGGCCATGGCTTGGCAGGCTGCTCAGGGAGCGGGAATTAAAGCGCCAGAAGGCCCGGGCCCTGCAGCTCTGGAAGAAGGAAGAGCCTCTGTTTGAATCGTCCAAAAAGCTGAAGGTGAAGGCCGCAGCCCAGACCCCGCTGGTAGAGCCAGCAAGCTCAGAGGGAAAGGCCAAGGCCCCCAAGGAGGAAAAGGTGGAGAAGGAAGAAAAGGTGAGTGGAACACACCAAGGCCTAGGACCCTCAGGGTCTGGGCAGAGCATGCCTGGCCCAGGGCTGAGAGATGTGGCCAGCTACAGGCTTGCAGGCCTGGCTCTGCTACCCCTTAGCTGTGTGACGGGCTAGGGACATCTTGCTGTAAGATGGAGATGGTACCAGCAAGGGGTGCTCCTGGGGGAGGGTACGTGAGGACATGGGCCCTCAGAGGGAGGCTTCACACACATTGCCCATGGTTACCTTCACAAATTCTGCTGGGTGTACTAGCCACCTGTGCCAGAAGTTTCTTAATTCTTTAATTTGTTTCTAAAAACCTTTTATTGAATCTAACACAAATATAGAAAAGCACACAGTGACCTAACATAAATATAGAAAAATCCTCAGTGACCAGGCCATTGAATTTTCACATATGGAATGTAGCCAAAATGTCATTACCCAGATCTAGAAAGGACACATTCCCAGCTCCCCCAAAGTCCCTTGGTGCCCCTTCTCAACCCCTCCTGCAGCCCCCTCAACATGCTGTCCTGATTCCTAGTGCCATACATGGGTTTCTTCCTTGGAGTAAATGGACAAACATGTGCGCCTCCAGTCTCTGGCTCCTTTCATAAACGTCACATTTGTGCAAGTCATCCTTGTCACTGCGCGTCGCAGCAGCCCGCCCCGTCTTGCTCCTGTGGAGTAGTCCGTCCGTCTGTGAACAGCTTATTTTTTCTGTTCTGCTGACAGACAGCTATTACACTTACGTTCAAAGGAGACCTAATGCAATTGAAGTAAATGGGATTCCAGGGTCCCTTGCCATAAATGGAAAGTGGTAGCTCTTCATCCTTCTAGCTCTCAGTAGCATAAGTACAAAAGTACAGACTTCCCTCTGTGTACCCCCTGAAGTCACCCTGGGCTCCCTCCATCAGGGAGGTGTTGAGCTAAAGTGAGCAAGCCCAGAGCACAGGGCCCAGCTGGTGCCCAGGGCACCCAGTGTCCCTGACTGCCTGCGGTGTAAACACACCCAGGAGTCCAACATACCTGGATTCAAACCTGGCCTCTCTGGTTCTTAGCCCAGTGTCCCTGGGCAGCTTGCTCAGGTGCATGCAGTCTTGGTTCCTGGTCTGTGGGGTGGTCACTAACAGCAGTGGCCTCCTCTCCGTCCCCCAGGTGATGGGAGGCTGAAATTAGGTCGGGCATGGAGACGCTCACATCCTCAGTAACCATGCCCCAGGGCACGGCCCGTACAGTCACAGAAGCCTGTCCCACCCTCGAACTAAGTTTCCTCTCATAGGTGGCAGCACTAAGCCTTAGCAGCCCCTTGCGCACCACCTTTTTCATGGCACCGCGCCTGTCCAGCTTCGTCCTCCCCTTCCTCCGTTGCACGTCCCACCTACCCCCAACCTGGTGCCCCTGAGGAGCACTAAACTCGAGAGGGCCATCCCTGTCCACTGCAGGGCAGTGGCCTTCCAGAGCTGTGGCCACTGGGGCCTCCCACTGTCTGGACTGCCCAGTCTGTTTTCTGCCACAGGAGAATAAACCAGACAAGGTGACGTCCCTGTCAGACAGCTACCTCGACCAGACTTCTTCGGGCTCCGTCTTGGACTGTAAGTCCCTGGTGCTCCTGCCAGGCCTAAGTGAGCCCAAGCAGCAGAGTGGTCAAAGGCCAGGGGGCCGAGACAGCTGGCCTGGGTGTGAATTTGGGCTCTGCTCTTTCTAGCTGTGTGGCCTTGGCACATGGCTCCAGAGCAGGAGGAACAATCCCAATCTTGCAGGGGTGTGGTGGGGACTCAATGGGACAATGTCCAGCGCAGAGCAGGGAGGCCGAGTCTTGCTCCCAGGCACATCACCGTTGCTGTTGCTCATGCTCAGTTCCCTTCCCAGGCCTGTCCCTGAAATAAGCCCACAAGCCCTGTGCACATCTGAGAGGCTCTTCCCCCAACTCGGCCTGGCACCTGCCTGGAAGAGAAAAAAGTGAAAAACCCAGCACACTGCACCACTCAGAACCCCCAGGGCCAGTGTGCACAGTCCTCAGTAGGGAGGAAATGGTGGTGCCCAGGCCCCTTCCTTCATCCAGTGATCCAACACATGCAGAGTGCCCTGGGCCAGACCTGTGCCCGACACTGGATGGCACAGTCCTTGTCCTGGGGCGTGAGCTGTAAGTCGACTCTAAAAGGAGGAAGGCACGCAAGGGACAAGACAGCAGGAGATAGTGTGGGAGACAGTGAAAGAGAAGCCTGGGGGGCTATGTGTGCACTTAGCCCCCTTTAGGGGGGGCAAAAGAGGCTTCTAGGACCTGAAGGAGGAGTAGGGGTTGGCCAGGTACGGGACAGATGGAGCCAGGGCACTGCTCAGGGAAGAGGCCCAGAGCCTATGAGCTATTTATGTGGCAGGAGCACAGAGGGCAAGGGGCAAGGGGAGCCCCTCGGGCATCACCCCCCATCTCATAGCTCCAGCCCCCCTCAGGGCCTGGGGAGCCGAAGCGGGCTGGGCTGCTGTGGTCCGCCAGCCCTTTCTTTCCCTTCGGCCGAGCAAAGCTTCAGGGATGTAGGCCAGGGTGGGACCCGGAGGCCCCTTCTCCTGGAGCTGTCTCGGGGAGGCGGGGCAGGGCTGACGGGTGCTCTCGGCACACCCTTCCCAGTCAGGACCGAGAGCACCTCGGAGACAGAGATTTCGACTACCTGGCAGGAATATAGGAGCTCCTCGGCTACCGTGGTGACGTTCTCTAGGTCTTCACTGCTGAAGACTCCATCCTCAGACTCCGGAAACAATAGGGAGTTCTTGCCCCTGAGGCACAGCCGCAGGAAAGCCACCGCTTCCCAGGCCCAGGGGCAGAGCCCCGACAAGACCAAGGCCACCCAAGGACAGAGTCGGAGGCCCAGGAAGATCAAGGCCACCCAGAGCCCAAGGCAAAGGCTCAAAAAGTCCAAGGTAGCCCATGGCCGGAGCTGGAGATCCAGCAAAGCCACCCAGGGCTGGGGTCTGATCCGAAGTTACAGCAAGACCGAGGGTTCCCTTGACCTAGATTGGAGCTCCAGGAAGTCTGAGGCCACCCAGCGCCAGAGCCAGAGCCAGAGCCAGCACCAGAGCCAGAGCCAGAGCCAGAGCCAGAGCCAGAGCCAGAGCCAGATCCAGCGCCAGATCCAGAGCCAGAGCCAGAGCCAGATCCAGCGCCAGATCCAGAGCCAGAGCCAGAGCCAGATCCAGCGCCAGATCCAGAGCCAGAGCCAGATCCAGCGCCACAGCCAGAGCCAGAGCCAGATCCAGCGCCACAGCCAGAGCCAAAGCCAGATCCAGCGCCACAGCCAGATCCAGAGCCAGAGCCAGAGCCAGATCCAGCGGCAGAGCCAGATCCAGACAATTGCAAAGATGTGGAAAACCCAAGTGCCCATCAATACATGAGTGGATTAATAAAATGTGGTATATGTATACCATGAGTACTATTCAGCTATAAGAAACACAGTGATACAGCACCTCTTGTATTTTCCTGGCTAGAGCTGGAACCCATTCTATTAAGTGAAGTATCCCAAGAATGAAAATAAGCACCATGTACTCACCAGCAATTGGTATTAACTGATCAACACCTAAGTGGACATATAGGAATAACATTTATCGGGTGTTGGGCCGTGGGCGGCGGAGGTGGTATATACATACATAATGATGCACACCAACCTGGGATGGACACACTTGAAGCTCTGACTCCGGAGGGAGGCAGGCAAGGGCATATATGTAACCTTAACATTTGTACCCCTACAATATGCTGGGTGAAAAATTTTTAAGGTAAAAAAAGAAAGAAAAATGTTTTTCAGTTATTAAGAGTTCTTAGCACTCTGGAGGCCGAGGTGGGGGTGCTCGAGATCAGGAGTTCAAAACCAGCCTGAGCAAGATCGGACCCCTCTTACTATACACAGAAAGAAATTAATTGGCCAACTAATATATATAGAAAATTAGCTAGCATGGTGGCACATGTCTGTAGTCTCAGCTACTTGGGAGGCTGAAGCAGCAAGATTGCTTGAGCCAGGGAGTTTGGAGGTTGCTGTGAGCTAGGCTGACGCCATGGCACCTCACTGTAGCCTGGGCAACAAAGCAAGACTCTGCTCAAAAAAAAAAAAAATGAGTTCCTTAGAGCTAAGAATATTAATTAACTGTCACTGGATATAACAAAATATATTTTCCCTATATATTACTTTTTTGGGTGTTTTTGCTACTCAATAACTAAATTTATCCTAGTCAAATTAATTTTTTCATTTTGCTGCTGGGTTTAGAATTCTCAGAAAGCCTTGCCCTACCCGAGATCATAAATATCACTTTGCTGAGGTTTCACACCAGCATCACGTGTTGGGTCTCTTGGAGGCGTAGCTGGAGAACGGAGGTGTGATGGGGGAGCAGAGCCCAGCCTGGTTTCCATGAACTCCTCAGGTGGGCCCAGAAGACTGCCATTCCCCCCAGGGTGGCCCAGCTCATTGCCAGCTGGGCCCAATGTGTCTGTGCTGCAGGCAGTTTCAGAGGCGGAGAACCACTTCTCGGGTGGCCGTCGCAAGCACAACCCCAGAATGCCAGTATTACCTGTACCG